GCTGGCTGCAAAGCTCGTGTGAGCTGGTGCACTGCGAGCTTACCCCAGTAGGTCATTACTCTGCATGACTGCTTGGCCACGGGAGTTAATAAAACGAAGTAGTTTTAGTAAAACAACGCAAGTTTTAGATCAGCCAATGACAGAACGGTGGGGAAGCTTACTTTTACGTCGAGAGCAACTTCAGTTTAGGTTAAACTTTGGATGGTTTTAGGAGCTTAAACAACGGGCAAAATATGTGAAAAGCACAATACTAGCTAGTACTATTAATAGTATTAAAACTCCATGCGGACGATCCGGATAAAGATTCGAAAGGTTGAAGTGCGGGTGCCGCCACAATGAAGGCGGTGGCAACGGGTCGGACGTGGACAAGGGACACAAGCGACCAGCGACTACTGGAGCAGGCAAAGGCGTCGATGGTGGAGCAATGCGCGTTGGAGGTGGAAGCGACCAAGACGTTGCTCAACGAACGCCTGCGCAAGGAGCAGAGGAGGCACGCCAAGGCCCTCGTACGTGCGTCCTCATCTTACATGTCAACCTCACACGTCGATATCAGGAAGAGCGAGAGAAGCGAGCGGAAGAGTTCTGCACAAACTTGCAGGCCAAGTACGAGGATCTCATGGGCGTTCACGAAGTGACGTGGCAGAACCAGCTGCACGCGATGCAGCAATCCATGCACACGCTCCTGCGTACGCACATGTCTCTGGAAGACCACGATCTGATTTTGAACCAAAAGACGACCGCCTTGAACGACGCACATGCCAGGGCCGTGCAGCTCCTCCAAACGACGTTCGATCGGTCGATGGTGGAAGCTCAGCATGTTCACGAACGAACTGCCGAAGCAGCGCACCACGCCGCCGTGGTGCCTCTCCACGCAACGATTGCGGAGCTTCAGGCCAAATGTGAGCAAGCTCAGGCAGCCGTGGACGACCTGACTACGCGTACGAACGACGATAGTAACGATATGCAATAACTACGAAGATGGTGATGATGCTGCTGCTGTATTTGTGTTCATGTTGGATGCTGGCTATTGCCTTTTAATGTGAACCACAACCACATTCAAATTGCGACACTTATTACTGGTTCACGTCTTGTCCTTAGGTGGTTAACCTTAATCGACTGTAAAGATGACTGTTTATTATGAATACTAATGTGGATTCGATACAAATTTCCAGATGAATCACGAATCGACGCTATTGGCGTATCCATTTTTGAGTGGATTATTTGATTGGCTCTTGCAGAAAGGACAAGTATATTGAACCAATCAGAACTCCGGCGTGATTATTCAATATTGATTAGACAAACCAGGTTTATAGCGAATTCACAATATGTTGTAGCCAATATTGTATTTAGCATTCTATACTAGAACTGGCCAAGACTCGGGAGAGATACCAAAGCGAGGTGTTGCGGCGCACCAAAGTCGAAGCCAAGATGCACGAAAGCTGTAGACATTTGTTGAGTATGCGAAATCAGCTCAAGAAGGCAAGTGGTGGAATTGCCGAGTGGAAGGCGCAGACCAAGGACTGGCAACGTCAGGCGAGCCAAGGACAAGCAGATTGCACCGCGCTCAAGCTGACGTTGGTACACTGCTTTATGCTCACATAACAGTTAACATACATCAAGCCAGTACTACTGTAGTAGGAAGGAGGATCACTTAGAGTTCTTGATGTGTGGTGGTAGGTCACGGCGGAAGCCACCCACGGCAGCACGGTGAAGTGTTTGGAGCAAGACATTCGATACCTCGAGCAAGCCCTAGCAAAGGAAACGTCCTTGAGGGTATCTGTGGAGGTGCATGCATGCATGCATACATAAGACCAATTCAATGTCAAATACATCGAAGAGTCTATAGTATAGGTCTAAATCGTAGGGCCAACTGGCGGTGGCCACGGCGGCCGTGACGACGTGTGCATCGTCGAAAGGACAAGTGGAAGCACGGGAGCTCATGGCTAATCAACGTCTGGAGCAACTGCAAGTGAATTGGGATGCCGACGTCGCGCGCCGGACTTTGGCGGCGGCGGACGAACAAGACAAGCTCAAGCTGGCAAACGAATGCATCGACAAGTTGCGGGGTACGGTCATGGATTTGCAGCGAGACTCGCAGGTACTGTCAATGGAATTCCCTTATTTCAAATATATACTATAGGACCTACGGCGGCAATTGGACGTGGCGGTGGCGTGCAAAGATCAAGTGGAGGGGGCGTGGAATGTCCGTCTTCGAGACATCGAAAAGAAATTGCAAGCGTCAGATGTGGTTAACAAGGCGCTGCGGAAGGAGAATGCCGCGCTCAAGCAAGAGTTGCGCATCGAGCAACAGTTGTTTAAAGGATCCACGGCTCTCAAATAGGGAGACAATCCATGGGCCAATCATAACGCACGACACTAGTCAAGTGGCCAATCAAATTTCTCTCTTCAACGCTACGAATTAACTGTAAATGTGTATGTACTGTACGTACTACGTACAGTAGTACTACATATGTGCCTTCAATGTGAGACACTGTTTATAACATTATACAACGTACTATTAATAGTACAAAATTCAACGTACTATTAATAGTACAAAATTCAGCACAAACTATCCGATCGATGGAGTTGGTGAATAAAAAGCACAAAAGGCAACATTTTGGCTCAAAGGACAATAATATACAACGTAGTATACTACTTCGAAGTACAAATAACGTTATGAATGGACTTTCAATGTCCAATCTGCATAAGTTAACGACACTTTTGTAGCCAATCAAACGATTTGACGGTTTCACAAATACCACGTCGAACAATCCATTTTCGCGGGACAACAAAATGGAAGCGACGGCGTTGGCGGCCGCGACAATGTTAAAGAAGCCTGCTGCTGATGTTGTCGAGAATACTGCCAATAACAGTCCTACCAAACCATCTCAAGTGGTGGGGGAAGTGCCGCTGCTGGCGCAGATGCAACAGGCCATGGATCGGCTGGACGACGTGATGAAGCGCCAGGACGTCGGGGATGTGGTCGTGACGCGGAAGCAGTCGTGCCTGCTCAAAGACCACATCGAGCCGCGACCCGACTTTGCCAATGTCAAGTTTTCCCTCAAAAATCGCTTCAGGTGCTGCTTCTCGTCTGCGACGCAGTTAGCTAGCAAGCGTGACATCCGTTTTTTGCTTGTGTAGCCACTTGGCATCTTTTCGCAAGAAGAAGATCATTGAAAACATCGAGGTGCAATCAGGCAACTTCGCTAGCATATCTTGCTTGGCTCATATGGGCATTGGCATGGGCTACACCTTATAGGACCTCAAGCAAAAGTGTGTGGCGGTGATTGGACTCGGCGGCATTGGCGCGCTGGTCGCGGAAATGTTTACCCGTACTGGCGTCGGCAAGCTCACGTTGATCGATCACGGTACGTGTAGGGGTAGTGCAGGGACCACCAAGATATCATAACGAACAAACACACAGTACTCCATACAGTACGCTGTAGTCATGTATGGTGAGGAATATGATAGAGTAATCTTGTCAAGTCATCACGACAATAGGCGTCGTCAAGATGGCAAGTATGACACGTATGCACTACCTACCAGAGCATGTGGACATGAGCAAGGTGCAGGCGTCGCGGCTGTACCTTCGGCAGTTGAATCCCCATGTTGAGATTGAGACGCTCCACTGCAATATCAACGACGGTAGGTCAGCTAGGAAGAGTTAGCTAGCTAGCTAGTCAACTATCTAGCCAACCAGACAGCCAGTGAGCAAGCCAAAGTAGCTACTAACTTTTGAATGGGGGATATGTAGAGCTCGATGCTGAGATCTTGCTGGACGTGCTGCAAGACTGCAAACTGGACCAGTCTTCGACAGCTGACAAACCGAATCGTCATCATGCCAATCACGGAACCAGCACACACATGCAGTTCCGACTGCCCATGGACGCCATCATTTGCTGCGTAGACAACTCCATGGCTCGGAGTCGAGTTAACCAAGTGAGTTATATTCAATCAATTACTACTACTACTACAAAGTGTTAATATACCAAATTAACCTCTTGGGTTGTTTAGATTGCGCTGAAACTGAGCATTCCACTGATCGACGTCACGTTGTCCCCGTGCAGCTCCTTCATCACCGTTCAAACTATCCTGCCAGGCTACAGCGCGTGTATGCATGTACGTAGTAGTTCTTTATATAATATTATATATATATATACCTTGATAATTGTGAATACGCGTGGTTTTCTATGCACTATACTAATAGTATTGAATAATCACGCTGGAACTTCGGATTGGCTGAATATCCATGTCCTTTCGTTTGTAAGAGCCAATTAGATCACGTCAAAACTGGAGTAGCCAATCGATTCGTGATTCGAATCGGCCGGTCTGGAAATTTGTGCCGAATCCACCAATCCACCACAATAACGTTATCGTGATATATATATATTCTTGATGTTTGAATAATATCAACGACATCTCCTGTATCAAAACCATCATTTCTTCCTTGATACTTGTGGTAGTGTCACTGGAACGACAAGTATGAAGCTGAGGCGATGGTTGCCGACGCTGTCTCCCGCCAGTGCCCTGCCACGTTACCGCAATGCGAGCTCATCGCAGCGGGGCTCGTGTCTCAAAGCACCATTAAGTATGTGTTTTAATTCATATATATATATATAGTGCAGTGTCGTCTGTTTTTGCTGCACATTGCACTGGGGTGTGTTTACTGCTTCGAACCAGACTGGTTACTTTAAAATAAATTTTGTCATTATGTTTTTTTGTTTCTATTTTTTTATGTCACAGTATAGTTTCGCGCTTAGGTTGTTGTTGGAGTTTGGGGACCAAATTCCGTTTTACCGACTCAACTGCTTGGACATGGACATCAGCACGTTTTGGTTCAAACCCAATCACGAATGCAGTGAACCCATGTGCAAACTCAAACAAGCCGAGTACCAGCTAGACGTGGAAAAGAAGCAGGAGCTGGACACCCAAGCGCTGCAGAGAGCCCAAGCCCACGACGATGATGACGTTATCCATGAGTCTTGAATCAGTTATTAATTTTATAAATACATTTATTAAACGCATTCTTTTTATCTTCTTAAAAAGAGATTTTTATGAAACTAATATCTCATTTCTCAAATAAATAGTCAAATCATATTTTTATTCTTAACGAGATTTTTATTATAAGAGTGGGTCTGGATTTCACACACCCAATTTTTGCCCAATCAATATTCAAAGTAATTCGAAGAATTTGGTTGTCACCTATTTTTGACTGTCTGGATCAAACTGATTTCGAAAGAAACTCGACGATTCTCATTTCTTGCCAATTTTCAGAATAAAACGTCCGTTGAACCACTTTTTATATTTTGGCGAAAAACGAGATAATTCGCAAATTATTGAATTCTCCAAATTTTTGGTCCAGAGAGACACTTTTTCATTATTTGCCGATTTCTTAGAAGATCCCAAAATATCGAAGATTTTGGCATTTTCTTTGACATCCACCCTGAGAATTTCTATATATATATATATATTTATAATAAAGGTAGTTCCAACTTGCAGGTTGCTCCTCAATCGGATAGTTGGGTTTGAATTAGTATTGTCGTTATGGATAACTCATCTCGCGAAAACCAGTTATGATCGGAAGATATGCTGAAAGGAAGCTATCTCGGCCGCCTTGACTTTTGCGGACGCCGCTTGCAAAGCCACCAAGTGTCTTCCTAGAAAGATATACACATATGGATATGTGAAAGTGGGAGGGAGAGTCGAGTACGGAGTGTGACGATGGAAGTTGACGGCTGCTGATCGAGTCCAAGGGCGTGTGTGACATCGTCCTTTGCCAAGGCAAACTCCTTCTGCTTCATAAACGCTTGGCTCCGTCGATACCAGGCTTTCACGTTCAAAGGATCGTGCTTGATGGCCTGCATAGTATGGGCGCCGCGTATTCGTCAAATGAGGAGAGTTGGTAGAAACGTACCTGTGTGCAATGCAAAATGCACTTGGCGCTGTCGACGGTACTGCCTTGCAGACAGCAGGCCGCGATGTTCACGTGCAGCGTTGCAAGCACGGGACCCACTGTCATAAGCTCCTCTTGAGAGTACTGGCAAGTCTGCGGCGCTTCCAAGAACTGCAGCCCCTACGCATGTGAACTCGCTGCAATGAGTTCCATGTTGGCCATACCGCGCCGGTCTCTTCCTACCTTCTTGTAGTACCCTTCGGCACGTCGGAACTCCTTTGACTTGAAGGCTTCGTTTCCTTGGGCTTTGCATTGCGTGGCCAGGTCCACCTTCACCCCCACGATGCTTTGCTCGCCGATGGTCTTCGACAACTCCATTTTCGCCGAGCAAAACGTTTCTTTCGTCTGATTGGTTCGCTCGATTTGAAGGAACACCAATCAGAATTCACCCCGAACAAACATATATCGATTCCGACATATCCGGATACGATAGTTGGGACGTTCTTATATCAAGTACGCTACTACCCTGCCACAATCAAGAAGCCCGACCGACCATGAGCTCAAGCACCGGCGGCGCCAACACGAATGTGGCGCTTGGACGCAAGTTGATCGACGAACTGCAGCAGATGGGCGCGCAAGTCCCCGATGAGCTTCTAAAGGTCCAGGAATGGCTTGAAGTATGTGAGAAGAACGCGATGCAGATCGCATCCAACATCTCGGACGCGCGGCGGGAGAAGTCGCAGCAACGGCTCAAGGGCAACGAGACCCTGCTCAAGGACCAGAGCGACATGTTCGACCGAATCGCGCAAACGTACAAAAAGCTGGCGCAGGACGACTCGTGGATCAAAAAGTAATCAACTTGACCCCGCCACTTCTCCATGTCCATCTCCTCGCTCTTGTCGCCATCACAGCTCAAACGCTACTCCAAGTGTGTCGTCATCTGTCAACCACTCAGACCTTACTACACATGCATGCCCCCTTGTGATTCCTCGTCGTCGCTCGCTCCATCCTCAATTCCATTTACCCTCGTCGTCATCTTGTTGCCGCAAAATCAGTTTCGCGCAACTTACTACACATGGACGTACCCCACCCTCTATCCATTCCTACTCATCTCCATCCTTCCGAGGGGACCACGTAAGAACACATTCGAGTATGGACGTCCGTCCTCGTTGCGTTCCTCGCTGTAGTGTGCATGCATACATGCATCCTCCGTACAAATGGCCTTGCCTCATCACTCACTCGTTCATTTATATACATACATACTCCTTGGCTGGTTGTTCCTACTCGATCTGGTTCTTAGATAGGCAGGCACTTGGTCTCCCAGATGCGATTGCCCACATATTGCAATCGGAGCGACACATATCGCAACGCAATGCCTTGAAACACAAACGCGAGCAAGCTGTCCTTGTCCAGCATGTCCTTGAACCTGGCTTCTGTCAGCACGTACACAACGCACCGCTCCATCTACCACACACATTGTCATCCTCGTATCTTCTTTATCATTAGTAGCAGCATCAGCAGAGCCTACCGTGACCACGGTTGTCTTGCGCTTTTCCCCCGTGAGCAGACACAACTCGCCCACCATCGCCCCTTCGGAAACCTCCTCCTAGCCATTCATTTACAGATGCAACCTACTGCTGCCATCAAGTATTTCTTATTACCTTGGTGCCAGCTTCTTCTTCCACGATCGCTTGCATGCGACCTTCGGCCAACAACATGGCACATGAAGCTGCATCTCCTTGCCGCCACACCTATTGATTGCACATCGATATTGTTGTTAGAGTATTATGACCCCCCATCCTCCTCTTTTCATTTCTCGTTGATACAGTATATATATATATCATATCGTTCATTCTCCATATCTAGTACGACTTGTGTACCTACCTGGACATCGCCATGCAGCACTTGCCGGTCAAAGTACTCGAGCAGCTTTTCCAACACGGCCAGCGGCTGCGCCGGACTCAAGTTGTGCAAACGGGCGAGAAACGCATGCTCTTTAGGTAGCGACGGCTCCTTTTGCAGCGTCGATTCGACCTTGTATCGCCGCAGCAGTTCGTTTTCAGACCACTCGATCGCGTCGTTCAAGTCATCGGCCACGTGGAACATGGGCGACTCGTCCACGAGCATCACGCGAAGGAACCGGGTATACGCTGATGGAATCGCCGTAAACACGAGCCGGCACTCGTACGGCGCACATACATACCTTTGAAGCAAAATCAATCAAGTTATATCCAACTGTCGACAAACAAGTTTGTATAATACACGAGGCATCGGTCGGTTTAGACCGTTTTGCAAGTCTACAAGTCTAAAATCTAAATCAAATTAAACGCAGCATGTTTATTGTGCTTTCGAGTGAAATTTCATTGTGTTGTGGCGTGGGGTTTCTCGTTGGAATTTATTAAATCGATTTGATTGGGTACGTCAGATGAGCTCAACATTATTAGCCAATCAAAACCTTCTCAATGAAATTCAACAACCAATCAGATCGATTGTGGATCGGTTTGGTCGGCGCGATTCGACCCTTCCCAAATTTGTACTCTCAAATCGACAATATTTGAATAAAGAGGTAGCCTTTTAGTTGATTTAAAGGCTTCGTTTTGGATACGTATTACAAGCAAAGCCACTTGTGAATATCTTGGCAAGTGAAAAGAAAAAAAAAGTGTCAACTTTTTTGCCGTCTCAACCAGTCAGACCCACAATTAAATTTTTATAAAAACGATATATGGTAGGGTTTCCAAAGATAGTAGTTTGGAACTCGTAAAAACGTAATAATAACAAGCAAATTGGATGATTACGACACGTACTTGAGCTTGGAGAGACGATCCGCTGCCGACGAATCCATGGCCACCACGAGCGTAAAGTCCACGACGAGGCATTCCAATTCCGGGTATTTCACCATCAAATCGCTGATGTAGTCGCTTAGTTTGTGGATGTTGCCAAAAAACAAATGGCCCTATTGATATGATGATACACATACGATAGTCATATATCATGCGTCGTATGTAGTCGGTATAAAAAAGTACACTTATATATATATATCGAATCATACCAAACACCATAGTTTGTATAAAAAAGTACACATTGAAGGATATATATATATATACTTTGAAGGATATATATATATATATACTTTGAAGGATATATATATATATACTTTGAAGGATATATATATATATATACTTTGAAGGATATATATATATAGATCGAATCATGGCAAACACCATGGATTTCTCTCCAACTACTACTATGTGTTTGTACGTTTCAACTCATAGAGTAGTAGTGTGAGTACCTTCAACTGCACGACGTGGACATTTCGCGACACTTGGTCCAGCACCTCCAAGTCGGACGTGCTGCGCCACGCACTGCTGCGCAACGTCGCGGCGCTCATGCTGCCCCGCAGCGGACCCGCCGGCGCGCTCTGCGCCACAAACGCCACACATGCCAGAAGTACCCCCACCGCCAGACCTATCGTGGATTTCAACCAAGAGTTCCATGAGTGATACATTGATTCAAACTATACAACAGCATGGATGATGGTATATATACTGCATACTCGTACTATAGTAGGTCAAAAAATGTTCCCAATCTACAAGGATATCTCATAACTCCATCGCACATCAAAAAGAGTGCAAACTGTCTGTGGGTAGATAAATAAATAAATTTACTTATTTATTTATTTACCCACTATATATAATAAATATATATATATTGGCACTAATAAATATATATGTATCGGCGCATAGGTGGTCAAAACATCAAGTACGTCGTTCGTAGGGATGATGCTGGTAACTCGACATTCAAACTCGACGTCAACAGTGTAAGCAGTGGGTATATAAATATATAGATAGATAGATACATTGGCCCATACTTGATCACACGATCAAGTACGTCTACGGAAATGTTGCTACAGGTAACAAACTCGGACATGATTCAAAGGGCGCTACATAACATGCGTCGACACTTGGTTTGCATACCTTCGTTCATGCCCCAGAACGTCATAGTAAGTGCAATGACCCACACAGTGGCATATTCCAATCGATCGAGCTCTGCGTACGTGTCCACCACTGCTTCCTTGCACAAGTCCAACCCAACGTGCACCATCAAGCACCCCGCCATGCACCGCGGGACGTACGCGACGATGCCGGGGCCGGCAAAGAACAAGATGCTGACAAACACCCCGATGAGCACCGACTGCAGCCGGCCGCCGCCGCCGCATTTATAGTAGAGCGCCGATGTCGAGTAGCACAAGTAGTTTTGCACACTGCCCACGAGTCCGCCAAGGGTATTGGAGATGCCCTATAGGAATACCACCATCAGGAGGATGACGTGGGTACTTTTTAGTTGTTTTACATGTGCTTTGAGCTCTTCGTTTATATCGCACTCGTGGCCCGTGGTGAGACTGAGGGATGGGATGTTGATTGGCACGTGCATGAGACTGAAGATGCTCAGCCCTACTAACGTCCCAAATTGCTTGGGAATCACCGACCACTCGACCAGGGTAAAGTCGTAATGCGACCACATCGAATAGAACGGCACTTCGGGCGGCCGTTCAAAGAACCAGTTGTGCTGTCGGGCTGTCTACAGAGGTAAGTAAGCATCGTCGTTAGGAACGTTCGAGAGCGAGGAACGGGGGAAGGTCGCCGCTTCGTCTAGTGCTGTCCACATTCATATGTGACCGCGACACAAAACATATATAACATTGGGCTCAAATGTGCCAAGGTTGGGGGAAATCGCCAACAACATAATCGAGCAAAGAATGTTGATTGGCTAAAAAGTATGACGGGTGCAAAAGATGATTGGCTAATGTTGTTAATCAAAGATACCTCTGAAACGTAGTGTTTTATATGCGATTTCGCAGGTCCGCTGAGTGTTTCGCGGGTTCATGCCCGAGGAAAGATGGAGAAAAAAGTACACAAGTACCTACGACCTTTTCAATGGACTCGACATAAATTGCCACACAATTCGACTTGTACAGCTAGGTAGCTGCATATGAACTTGATGTATATATGTTATGTTGATTCTAAACTGGATGAATCGACACAACCAAATATAATGTACAGAAGAATTGAGCCAATCAGATTGATGGACAACCTCAGTTCAACACATCAACATTAGACTTGGCATGTGACGACTGCAAGTCGTGTGCTTGCCTGATAAGCCACACATACAAAATTCAGTATAATAGTACGTACTACTGATAAGCCGTACATACAAAACTCAGTATAATAGTACTACTGGATATGTCATACATACAAAATTCAGTAGAATAGTACGACCTGCTTGCCTGGATAGAAGTTATGTATACAAAATTCAGTATAATAGTGAATTTTGCCTGGATAAGCCGTACATACAAAATTCAGTATAATAAAAGATCGATTGATGGAACAGACTCCCCCAAATCCACAGGAGGTTGGGTGCAAGACACAATACTACCTCGATGGGAATCCCGGCAAGGACAAGCACGATGTAAAACAACGGCACGATCGAGACAAAGTAGAACGGGGAGAAGAGCGGCGACTTGGCGAAGCGCAGACACACGCCCAAGACACCCACGAGCACCACCGACACGATCCACAGATACAACACGTCGGGCTGGGCCAGGCGAACGAGGCCGCTCCATGTCCACTCGACCGTGACGCCCGTGGCATTTTGAAGTCCGTTTTGGACCACGAAGATGCCTACGAGGGGACAACACTCAGCACAAACGAACGAACGATAGAAAGGACAGACGGACCGATGCCGCCGATGGCGCCGATGATGATGTGCTTGGGGAAGAGGTAGATGACCGAGCCGAGCTTAAAGTACCCGAGCGCGTAAAACATGACCCCCACGACGACAGACGACAGCGCGTACGTGACGAGGATGGTCGGGAGGGCTTTGGGGGACGTCGCGCCCACTTCGGAAATGATCGACATGGACAACGTGTGCATGAACGGAACGTTCTCCACCATCATCATGCCCACGGAGCAGTCGAACGAGCTGCGCACTAGATGATTGATGATGTCAGAAAATGAAAAAAGATGCGTTGGATGTATGAGTACAGTACATACGAGCAAACACAAATTGGCAGATGAACGTCGTGAGCAGAAACATTTGGATGCCGATGGCGCGCGGCGCGGGCAGTTCGGTCCATTCCAGCGGAAAGAACGACAACCCAAACGGAATCGAGATCATTAAATTCAACACGACGGCAATCAACACGCTTGGCAGCGATTGCAGGATCGCGCGCGGGGAAAAGTCGTCGGCGGTCGCGTTATAACTGAGGAGCGACCCATCCATGCTCATTTTTGTCTGGGACAACGCTTGACTGGACGGCGCAGCCATGGTGGGGTCGTACTCGCGGCGGAGAGGGGGGGCTTTGAACAACCCACCCGCCTTTGTGTTGCGGCGCGGCACCTGCATGTGGCGCATTTCGATCGCTGTGAGGTCGGGCAGCGACACTGCCACGTCGGTGGCGACGGGAGATGTCTCGGCGACGGAGTTGGAGAGACGGATCAACGACGACCGCTCGGTCGGGGAGGACGTCGTCATGGACGCGCCGTTTCGGAGTAAAAAAGGCGACGGCGGCGATGGAAAAGCCAAAATGCGACGGGAGGATTATTCCCCGTGACAGTTTTTTGTCGTCGACGACGGCGTTATCCGGATACCACATCCATGGATGTTATGGGCATTCAAATCCCAAATGGTTTTGTAAAAAGTCCACTTCCGGCGTATCCGGAAAACCCATCGACGCACTTCAACTTTGGTACAAGCGTGCATGGGAGATGTGTGTGTGGCGTCGGGGTCCATTCAAGTGAGGTGTCTGTCGTAAGTGAGGTGTCTGTCGTATACAACCATATGCCACTTCGCGACACTTGTCATCGTTATGGTTGGGCATGTCACATGAAGTCAACTGTAGGGGCAAGTCGATGGTTGGGCAGTGTACACTGACTGTATCGCCATCTGCGGCAGCGAAATAACATTGGGACCGAATATGGTGAATGATCGTGAGTGTGCGACAATCACCCGTAGCGTTATCGCGAGGATGGGTGGTCGACAGGGTCTTGGTGTTTCGAAGCTCCATCCAAGGTATGTCCTGCCGCCACACGTGCGAGCGTCACCCATGCTGATCGTCGTCGTTGTCGTAGCCAATGTCTTTCCAGTTGAGCAGCCGCAGCCGCCGCGGGACAATGAGTTTCGAGCCGAGTATGACTTCGGACAGCACAAACTTGAATTTTTCTCGCTTCATGGTGATGCGGTTGAAGTCGGTGATGCTGAGCACGTCCAGCGCCCACAGCGCCTGCTGAGCCAAGTCTGGTGTCGTCCAGTCTGTCAGCTTTGTCTAGGTATCGCAACCAAGGTAGTTAGCATGGTTGCACTAGTTCCCATATGGAGGGGTGAACCTTTTCCGCGCTTGTGGCGGCTTCGTCTGTCGCGACTTGGTTGCCCGACGCGTTCAAAATATCTCGAGTGGATTGCATACTACTACTAGTAGTATTACTAGTTGCATGAACCACAGGGATGATTTTCTTGACCGGCGGGCGACGAGACCGTGAGCTCCCATGTTTAGGTCGGAGGAGTTGCTGCTGCGAGTACTTTTATGCGTGAGTGTCCACATATACTCAAGATAGATAGATGATGCCTGTCTGTACCAAGCACTTGTTCGTAACTTACCGCGCTTGAAGTTTCGGACGGCGTCGGCGCCAAGTTTGTGTAAAATCCGCGACACGTTTTGAGCAACTTGATCGCGGCTTGGACGCCCCCGTGCTGACCAATCACCTTGGCGAGTGTTTCTATATACTCGATGTTTCTCACACGACTGAACCTTGTCACATATGGAACTGGAAGGGTGCAGAAGGGGGTTGGTTGCATGAAAGAGTGTTAAGTACCATCATGAGGAACCCCGTTTTCATCGTTTTGCTTCAACACATGAGGAGGTACCAGCACCAGAAACAGCCGACATGCATGCGCATACAGGTCGAAATATGTTTCTGGGAACGCCGCTAACGCCGCGCCCACTGCCGGCACGACCTGGAGGACAAGCACATCGGATTTGCATTGCGCCAAGTCTAAGCGACAAGCATAAGCATGATATGTCGCTTTGGTTGGTGTGGCTGCTCCAGCCTCGAGTCAGTTCAGTTTGCATATCTCTATAAAACTTCCAAAATTCGCGTGGTTTCACTAATCAATATTGAATCGCGCTGGAGTTCTGATTGGCTGACTATACTTTCCTTTCTGTAAGAGCCAATCAAATCCACTCAAAATTGGATTAGCCAATAGCGTCGATTCGACGAGGTCTGGAAATTCGTACCGAATCCACAATACTTCAAAGTACTACTAGTAACTACTAGTACCTGTGTATTGCCCAAATAGATACGACAGACGCTTGATGCCTGCCAGTTGCACCTACGTGTACAGACGAGATGATCATGCGATGGTGTAATAACCAGTCTTGTTGAAAAAGTATATATCGAATAAGTACGTGCAAGTTTACCAAGATAGGTAAAGATCGAATAGTATGCACACTAGTAGTAGGTACTAGTAGGTACTGTACCACATCCGAGTCTGAAAAGTCTGTGATGACTTCGACGGCGATGGCAACTGACGCATTTTCCAGCCTTTTAACCGATTGGTCGCCGCCAAACACGTCTAATGAGTAGTATGTATTGAGTACTTCGGTACTGAGTACTTCAGTACTTTTGAAAATCGCCTTGACGTCTTTTCGAATGAATGTGTCGAGGGGATTCTCGTCCACGACGCGATTGAGCGCGGCGATGGCGGAACTGCCCATGACGTACTTTCTCACGTCGTCGATGACGGTGATCATGCGCAGACATCGCAAGGACATTCTACATCGAGATCCTTAATGCAAGGGACACACACTTCCAAACACGATGTACATTACCGTAGCAGGGACACCCGATATCGCTCCAAGTCGACGGATCCCACGGGGTCGTAAAAGTCAGGGAATGGCTCTGGCGTGCGAAACCTCGCAAAGTACCCTAATGCATATCAACAGGGGCTCAGCATATTCATCACGGAATCGTTCAACGTGTACGCTTCTTTGTGTCGAATTCGGGCGCTGGAACCATGGTCGCGTAGGTTTCCACGGCGGCAAGGAGGATGTTGATGGCATCTTCGTTCTCGGCCACGAGCTCCACTTCCGTAGATACGTCGGTCTCAAACTCCTTGATGCGATCAAGGAACTCTGGGTTGTCTCGGTCTTTGGGTGTGATCCCTTCTCCTTCCTCGCACACTACATCAAGGCCTTAACAAGCCACATTCACATGTCGTCTTGATAGAGGCCTACGTTCCAAAAAGAACCGAACGACTGCGCACATGTTAACAAGATGAAGAGAATGGACGTGACGCTACCGGATAGATGGGGCTCCAGTAGATTCGGGTAGTCAAATGCTATCTTCACGTGGGCCTTAATGTCGGCACGGAGCATCGAGATGGACCCGCCCATCGTGGTTGACGGTTACAAACAATGAAACGCTCGGTCGTCGAATCCACCAATCAAATCGCACCTTGACTGATAACGCGATTTGATTGGTCTATTGTGGTCATTGGTGTTGTGCTTGAAGTACTTCAGGCAAAGACATCATGGTATTGCCGGTAGGTGTAGCGCTTCGATGGAAGGGTGGTGGCGTCGCTGACAAGTTGGTGGGTAACCCAATGTAGAAGAACAACAACGAGTACAAGAAGAAAGAGTACTGGGACTCGCGGTTTGAAAGGTACAACGTTGACGTGTTCCATGTCCTCCATGTCGTCGTCGAGCACACACGTTAACGACCATGTTACAGCGAAGAATCATACGACTGGCTTGCCCGCTTCAAGGACGTAGCGTCGCTCATTGATCAATATGTGCAAAAGAACCATCGCATCCTCGTGGTTGGGTGTGGCAACTCGACGTTTAGCATTGATCTCGTACGCTCCAGCCCCTCATCATCGCATCCATCCATTCTAACCCCCTCTCTCTCTCTCTGCAGTACGAAGCTGGGTACACCAACATCATAAACCTCGACTTTTCAAGTGTCGTGATCGAACGAATGAGTGCCAAGTACTCGGTACCATGCCCGCTCCTCCACTTCCATGCTCTGACTACAAGTCGTCCCCCACTAGACTTCCCATCCTCTTATGACTTGGGTCGTGGGAGACATGCTCAAGCTGAACGAGTCGTTTCCACCGCACTCATTCGATGTCGTCATTGACAAGGCGGCGATGGATGCGCTCATGGTATGCATCGCACCTCCCATTTCCACGACGAGGATCATCATGCATATGTTCGTTCAGGTGGAAGGAGGCGACACTTGGTCCCCTGCCGACCACGTCTTGGCCAATGCGGACGCCATGTGCTCTGGCGTCCACAGCATTCTCACCCAATCAGGCACGTTTATCCAGATTTCGTTTGGCCAACCGCATTTTCGCAAACGCTTCTTGCTGGTAACAACATATTCTTATGTACTAATTCGAAGTGCTCTTCGTCTATCAAAAATAATATATATATATCGCAAACGCTTGTGGTTGCTGGCATCACCAAATCTTATCATGTATTCTTCTAACCAATATATATATATATATATATATTCGCAAAACGCTTGGTGCTGGTATACTTATTATTCTACCAAAATGATATATATATATATATATATATATATATTCATATATTATAAGCGTAATCATGCGGTTTGGTGATGATAGGGACACCCTCCAAATGGCCCTGTGAGCACCGTGTATCACTGGTCGTGCAGCCATCACAACATTGGTACAGTACAGAACGTTATACTAAATTTTGCATCGTTCCCAATTTGCTCTCGACAGGGAAATATATATATATATTTACTGATGGGATTTTTGCTTGTGTTTATAGATATTGGGTTGGGCTACTACTTTTACGTGTTGCAAAAGGATCTGCAGCACTTGTAAGCCGAAAATGAACTGAACTTCCACCTTGGCTTGTTATTCGAACTCGCGCAGCATCTTCTCGAGCGAGTCCACGGCGCCATGCTGGTCGTGCAGGACAGATTGCGCATGTACTAGCTCTTGACGCAGCGTTTGCATGGCAAAGTACAGCGCCAAGAGGCCAAACATGTAGAACAGCACCAGCCCAAACTCGACTTGATGCTGCCAGTTCAACTTCGCCGATGTAGTCGTCTACACATATACCAATCATCTTAGCATGAAAACAAGCTCTCCTTCTGTACTACTTACTACTAGTAACGACCACATACAACCTAAAGTCAATTAAAGTACTCAACTCCTACGGAATAATAGCACAAAATGACACCTCTTTTCGAAGTTTAGATCGATCGACCAATCAAAACCCAGAACGCGAATCAACTGGCCAATCAAACAAGAACTCCCTTCAACATCGAATTCGTGCAAGACTGAAATTAGTGTGAACAAACAATCGATCACAAAAGTCGAAAACTTGGCTCAATTCCACACACCTCCCTCACCTTGGGTGCACTGCCACCTTTGCTTTCCATGGGCATCTACACATACATCCATGTGATGATAGTTATTCCTCGTATTGGGGGATTGTTGAAGTCACCAAACATCGAGCAAAGTAATTTCATTGGCTAAAATAATATAGCTTGCAACATGATTGGCTCAAACGATCAATCAGCAAACAGACGTCTTAAATGTAGGCATATCATATTTCGCAGGCCTGGCAATTCTTGGGCGGTTCATTCAACAAACCATCGCCGATGAGTTCAACACACAATAACAGTAATGTTATAAAAAATACTAGAAGTTGACAGACAGCATTCTTACAGCTGGAGATGGCGGCGGCGGCGGGCGCGTTTCCATCTCAATGAGGTCGCTCGTGTAAAACTCCAAGGACGTCGATGCTTTGAGGTTGGGAGGGTCGTGGATCGACGATTGAGACTCGACAAACAATCGCAAGTCGGACGTCGGACTGATAGCTTCGATGGCCCCAAATACATTGCGCAGCACTTGCAGCTGCGAAGACTCGGTCACGCTGCACGCCGTTCGCCACGACGTCGAGATCTTGGTTATCCCGGAAACCACCTGGGCTTGGGCGTTCTAATATCGAGAACAAAATCAAACAGATATTCGATATTGAAAGGGCACGAACTACTGTAGACGAACGGGTCCATGGATTATTCTCAGTAATAATCCATACTATTGTATCCAAAGTACAAGGCTATCTATTTGAATACTATTTTTTCCAAGAAACACACTATACCGTATTTGTCTCGACACGTGATTCAATTTGAACTACCATATATTGTCGATTTTTACATACAAACGTCAGTACAAAGAATCGATCGATAATAGATGTGGCCAATTAAAGTCCAAATTTTGGGTAAAAGGACAATATCAACGTACGATGAAATCACTGTGCACCGTGCCCACGAGCGTGTGGAACAGCACGTTGAAGTTTTCGGTCGCGTTCTTCGCAAACGTCATTTGCTTGACTGCCGTGGCCATGTCCGTTTCTTCATATTCTATTCCAAGGTATATAAATAAATATATATATATACACCTTCAATTTCAATATATATATATCTTCATACACATGTATACCTCACAGTCCACTACGATCATCTATACACATTTTCAGGTGATGCTATCCAATAGGTTTTGCATAAAACATTATACCATACATATGTATCGTATGTGAATAAATCAAAATCGAATGCCAACACACTTAAATAGAAACCCACCCCCCACTCTCAAATCAAGTACTGTACATGAACGCACCATTTTATTACTTTTTTCTCACCTTGATATACTCGTTTGAGCTTGACCAGGCGGATCTTGGCTGAATCTTTCCACCCCAGAGACACGAGACTCATCCCTTTGTCCTTGTCGGGGGACGTGGCTTCCTCGGCAGCCTCGCGCTCGACGGCGTCCATTTGGCTCTGCTTGGCCTCTAGCTCGCGCTTTGTGCGTTGAAAGCGCTGGGTCGCATCTCGTTCGTTGGTTTGCACTCCCTGGCGCTTCAAGTAGATGTCTTGGACCTAATATATAAATATATATATATTAATATTAGGGATATTGTACGAAAGATTTATATATGTATAAATAAATATGTCAAAACAAGTGCTATTCATAGTAGACATCGTAATGTTATGGACAGTGAACATAAGATATATCGATATATATAGATAGATAAGCAATACAATATACACATTAGTGTTATGGACAGTGTACGAAAGATATACATATATAGATATATATATTTATGTTATGGAAAGTGTACGAAAGATATAAATGTTTCCAAAGAACATACACAAATCCCATGTGGTGATGCTTGATATATATATATATATTGTACCATCATCGCAATCTGCTTTTTGGCATGGCCTTGTGCCGCCTTCAAGTCTTTCCACACTGATGTAATGGACCCCCTAGAAATCGATTTTTCATATATATTAATAATATATCATTGACAATACTTATTACCCCACGGCAGCTGCGTACTCTTCGTGAATGTGAGCAAATATCTGAACGCTGGAGCTGATGTTTTCCCATGCTTGGGCCAGCAGCTGTCCGTCGAGCTCAGCCAACGCCCACGACTGGCTGGACGTGATGTGCTGCAGCCGCTTGGCGTGGGCTTCAAATGTACTTTTCATCAATGCAAATACCTACAAATCGTTCATCTTTACTAGTAGTATAAACAACCACCTAGTACTACTAAACACCAACAATGTATGATCTTATCACCACACTGGCATTTCCAATAGCTGTCTCTACAGTACATATACAACCAGATAGTATCTCAAATACAGTAATAATACATACAAAGTGGACCATTCATCGAATAACTTTTCTACGCCCAACTAGGAAATCACGACTAAACAATATAATCCTGACAACGGATTTAATATGAATCATCCAACGCTATCATCTCCAAATATAACATTTATGTATCATGCTATAAATTTGTCATACATTTCAATGACAAAACAACCGAAATGGGGTTTAAATACTCGTTTATAAAATATCAAACATAAATCGAAAACGACCAATTATAATATGAAAAATAAAATGCAATTTCCACTAAACCAACTTACGTACGTCGCTCAGTTTGGCCAGCGTTTCCGCGTCGTTGGTCATTTGCTCGGTTATAAACGTCAGCACGTCGTCGGGGGCCTTGAAGTCGTCTGAAAAGTGCGCAATCGACTCCAGCGCCGCCTATTCATGTATATATATATATCATATTCTTTTTATATATATATCATATTGTTTTTAAAAAGCAAATAATATGATTACCTGGAAGATCGGATCCGACATATCAAACAGCACTTTGCGGCTGCTCGCGACACACGTCACCATGTCCTGGTACATGGACGCGACTCGGAACATCACTTGATTCTGCAGGTGTTCTTCGCGCTGAATTTCTATCGTTTCCAGCTACAATGAACGACAACAATATATATATATTAATATATCCGAAAAATAATTATACAAAAAAAATCAGCGCCTTTTGTACCTTTAGCAGCATGTCTGCGATCAAGTTTTGGTGCCGACTTCGATCGCTCCGACAGGTCATATCTGACTGAATGTACACCTCTTTGGCGGTCACACTCTCATCCAGCGTGGCTTTAATGCGCTGGTTCAGTCCATCGAGACCTTGGACATTCTTCTTTCCTTCCAGCAAGGCCAATGGGGGAAGTTGACTCGATGGGGTGGCTTTCTTAGCTTGAAGCTCCAAGTCGTTCAGTTTGTCCATGGCGGTATTGCGGGCGCGGATCGCAGCCTCCGCGGCTTTGCACGCCTTGATGTATCGTTCCCGGGTAGCTGTGACGTGGTTTTGCTTGTGGACTGCGAAAAAAAAATATATATATATTATTACTTGTGTGCCACACATATATACATAGTTATATGTACCCAACACTTCGTACGACGACCGCATTTCAAAAAACACTTGGCGGGTTTGGTTTCGGTAGTTGTGGACATGGTCTTGCAATGGAAGCACGACGTTGGACACCAACGAAGACGCAAATCGCCGCTTCATCGCGGCAGTCTCGGACGCATTCTGGAGCATCGCACTGTGCCAGTTCTACGGATGACGTGGCAGTCTGACGTGAGACCACGAGGATGGGAGCATCCTGCAGTGGTTGGTCGTACCTTGAGCCCACTCGCAACGTTGGCATTCTTGCTATGGACGATCCAATCATGCAAGGAAGGATAGTCAGGAAGGGCACGTACATGTACGAGATGGCCTGTAACGCTTCTTGGATCTTTTGGTATGTCTTAGCATGCTTGTCTTCGGCCGACGCGAGCTCCCGCAGGTTAGCAATGATCGTTTTACACGAGGCCGCCTGGAATGTAGTGTTGGATGAATGCATTTCGAAGGACATGCGCAGCTTACTCCGTCCACAGTCTTCTTCTCCACCAAGTCCAAGCGATAGCTCATGTTAACGAGCACGCTGGCTGCTGGGGCTGGCTTGCCACTTCGATCGATCTCGTGGTGCATGGCGGCGGTCATAAGATATTGCAAACCTGGGCAACCGTTATCGAAAACCGTTTCATGGTTTGTGAAAACTACTGTCGAAATGAATCTCCGATATGCAATACCAGAGGTTTCCAATTCCTACCACGACGACCAACGCTATACGACGAGATTGTGAAGCATCTGACGCATGCTATCGACATCACCACAACGTCCCACCTCTGTGAATGTGCAATCAACACAGCCCCAAGCGCACTCTTACCTGCGCATCTCCTAAACTACTTTTACTTAATTTATAGTTAGTATTAACGTCATCTCAACCATATCTGTATATCTATCTCCCCACATAAACCAAGGTCGTGTCCATCCAGCTTATAATACTGTAAGAATGCCAGTCCAGTTTATATATATTATTAATAGTATACGTATAGTTAATTACCAGTACTACCCGTTCGTAGCGTTCACGAAATAAGCTCCCAGTTTGGAAATCTTATACTAAGTTACTGTATTAATAGCATGGTTTACAAAACGTCTGCAAAAGGACATGTCATCCGTCCTACCGTCGTGGTTGCCCATGGGCCAGCATACAAAATCCAAGTGCCAGGCGCCGCGTCATGGATTCCAGCGTTCTGATTGGTTGTTCCTTTCTCCATCCCACCACATTGTTGGCTGTCGGTCCCACCGTCATCGACGATCATGCATGCCAGTCGAGTTCTGTTGTGACCACCACCAGCAGAAGCAGTGGCATATGACTCATTCGTCATTGTTGTCGCCCAACGCTCTTCCACTGCATCCTCCTCTTGCCACGACGCCGCCACAAGCGGAGAAGCGCAAGACCATGGATGTTGATCACCACCACCCCCAACACTTGGACCTGTCCCACGGCATCACGGCCAAACGAGTCAAGATCGACAACGACCTACCTCTTCTTCCTGCACCAGCGGCACAATCGTCTACCAAGCCGTCGGGGCTGTGGGTGCAGCAATCCCATGCCGTCGTTGCCAAGCCCAAACCCGCGACCTTGCGCAAGTCTGCGTCCGTCAACGACCTCTGGGTCAAGCAGACTATTGCGTTTGTGTCGAGAGATGTCTAAGATATAATAGCTCCATATATACTACGTACAATCAATATTCAAACCACACACTGAGCTACACTTGATCATCCCATCATCCAGCACACCACGTTGTTCGCCCAACCTCCACCTCGACATGCGATCAAAAAAGCATGGAATAATCTCGCAATCATTTTGAACATCGGTGCAATTCCCCCAGTGTGCTTTTACTATTTTAAAATAATATATATATTTTACATATTTTGTTGATTCATTATCAACTAAGTTACTTCATATATAATGAACCAACCAACCAGAGTCGAATGACTTGTAGCACTGGTGTCAATAATCCTTGTCCACTACAAACTACTACACCGTTTTTCTATTGACTTGGGACTTTTTTCAACGTTGTTGGCTTGGCGCTCATTCGAAAGAGCGATGTGTCCATTCATTTGGCCTTGTGGCCAATAGAATTGACACTTAGTGCCGCAACACCCTTTGAAATGTACCATGATACCAATGGAAAAGGCTCCATTACCCAACAATGTGCCAAGTAGCATATCAAATCTGCCGTGCTTGAAGTGGAGTTGGATCGAATATTCTAGAAGGTTGCAAGGTTGCAGTTGGGCGATCTTCGCGCCCATTTTTTTCACTTTTCAAAATCGCATTCCGTGCAACAATGGAGAACGCTGCACCACAGACACCAGTACGACGTCGTCGCTCACGATACACTAGCCATGTTCATAGCCACGCAAGAAATACAAGTGAATCCCCTCGTCTGGAGTACTTCTACGGTCGTGCGGACCGAATGGAAGACATGGACGTCGACATGTAGCTGTTTGCTGCAAGTTTCGATGATTTTATCTGCTTTTTTCATGCCGTCGCGTATTTGATCCAACTCAACTTCAAGCACGGCAGATTCGAAATGCTACTTGGCACATTGTTGGGTAGTGGAGACTTTTCCATTGGTAGTATGGTACATTTCAAAGGATGTTGCGGCACTAAGTGTCAATTCTATTGGCCACAAGGCCAAATGAATGGACACATCGCCCTTTCGAATGAGCGCCAAGCCAACAACGTTGAAAAAAGTCCCAAGTCAATAGAAAAAAGGTGTAGTAATTACTATGTATGTTGTCTTGAAGGCACAGTCTTCAACTCCCAATGTGAGCCCAACGAATAACACCATTATCCCAGGCAAGCATTTATACTATACAAGCACTACTACTTAACACTAAGACGGGGTCGAGTGTTACTCTTGTTCACAGGAGGCATGCATTATCTACAACAGACTGGTGACCTTGGATACAAATCAAGCGGCGGCCTGCCATTCTCGTCTACTTTTCGGCAAACGTGTCTTCGTCGACGCTGTCCAGACTCGACAAGGGCGGCTGCACCACATTGCGAATGAACTGCTGCACTTTCAAATGGTTCTTAACGCCAGGGGTCCCGTCTTCAAGACCGGAGCTCACGTCCACCCCCAACGGCGTCGCCACTTGGATCGCGCGCGCCACATTCAGCGGCGTCAGACCTCCCGCCATCAAGCACGGAATCCCTGCCTGGTCAAAGCTCGCAGCGATACTCCAGTCAAATACGGCGCCCGTGCCACCTGATTATAAACCACACGGGGAATAGTTATATCGATATTAATAAAAGAATTGTTATATCGATATACTTCATAGAATAATATTAGTGATGAAAACGTGTGTATGCAAAAAAATTACATTCTCTTTTTTATATACAAAGAAATTTTAATAAAAAAATCATTCTACTTGGAAAAAATAAATCCTTGGGGCATGTTTATATATATCTGCAAATTAATCTCATCGATCGAAAGGAGGTATGTATTGTACTTATATTTATATACTTCATAGTATATGTATGATGCATTTATACCCATTTGGCCTTTGATTGCGGTATCCAACAAGATCGCGACCGCGTAGCCTATTTATATATATATATATATATATATTGGACTTTGTATTTTATAGATATCGGAAATATATATATATATATATTTGTACCAGCCTGGACGTTCTCCTTGATAGCTTCGACGTTGACACTCCCACCAGTGTGAAAGCCTGGCAAATGCACCACGCGAATCGCCGGTACAATCAGTTGTCGACACACTTCAAAGCCTATACATATATATTATTAGTATATATATTCCTAGTGGCGGAAATATATATATATATTCTCGCGTAGAAACCATCAAATAACATTCATACCTTCGTCGCCGTGCAATTGAATCAAATCCAACCCCACCTTTTCGGCCACGTCGTTCATGTACTCGACGGATTGGTTTTGAAACACCCCTATAGTGTTGGCAAATACATATCAAATATATATATATATAATATATATAGATAGATCAATACTATATACAGATAGACACATACCAACCACGAGCGGGGTGCGGGCACTCGCGGCCGACAGTTTCTTGGCATGTGACTGGAACCAACCCGTGATGGAATCCAGAGAAGACGACGGTGGCACTTCAAGTTCGTCCAATTCGATAGGCACTCGAGAAGACCGTTCGCCGAACTTTCTCACGACTTGGACGATGTCCACGGCGGTGTCCAGATGGACGTTCCGAGGGGAATTGGATACGAAAATGATGCCAATCAAGTTGGCGCCGTGCTTGGCAGCTACCAACGCAGTCGCGGCGTCGGTGATACCACCTACAACCGGTACCGCAAATAGTGTTATAGACCAACTGCCAAATAGTGTGTAATAGACCAACTGCAGAGGTTGGTTTTGATTTAAAAATGAGAATATCAGATTTCCACAGACTCAAATACGAGTTATATATACTCAAACACGAGTTATATATACTCAAACACGAGTTATATATACTCAAACACGAGTTATATATACTCAAATACGAGTTATATATACTCAAATACGAGTTATATATATTTTTGTTGTTGTTGTCTTGACGATAAACTCGTGGAAGGAAATAATGGTGTGTTTTACATGTTTTCACAAGGGTTTTGTGGTGGTACGTCGTCACGCCCTTGAGTTCCTACTCGGGCAATCCACAACACAATCAGGTCATCTATATATATATATACATATATATGGCAGATATTATATATTTCCGTCCATCGCGAAACTAGGATGTATATATATATATAGGTATTTATAAATACTCGTACTTGAATCATATCCTTGACGTTGTGGCACCGCATGAGCATTTCACCGACCAACACTCCGTGCGCGCCGCACTCTTCGAATTTAAGCGCATCGGCCCGTGTAAATACCCCACTAAGTGCCAGTAAAAGAACGCTCTCCGGGCCTACAACCACAAAGCAATACGTGAGATGTATCAACAGTATCTGTGAATTTAGCTAAAAATAATACTGGACAATTGACACGAAATGTACACATAAAAACATACTAGAGTAGCTGTGAACGTACCTTCCAGAGGAATTCCTCGGCGTCGAATCGCATGCGCAATGTCCACGGTCGTGTTCAAATCCAACTTGAACGTGCGCAAATTGCGGTTGTTGACGCCAATGAGTCTAATCCGATCCAAACATTAGCCAATTCCTCGCTTTTTTGGCAAAAATTTACGAAAAACACCACTTATTTCTCGATTTTGCCAAAAGAAATGCCATTTTTCCCCAATAACTCTACGTACTTGGCACCGGCCTCAATGGCTACATCAAGCTCGTGTTCGTTGTTCACTTCCACGAGCGGCTCCATGCCCAGCTCCCGGCTTGCCTAATCATTCAAATGTATTAACATGATGTGAAAGGAAGGTGTCTATCTACCGCCAACAGCGCCGTCAATTCCGGCAGAGTCAATATGGCTACAATCAGCAGCAGACTGTCCGCGCCGTACGCTCGGGCTTCGAGCACTTGGTACGTGTCGAAGATGAAGTCCTTTCGAAGGACGGCTGGCCGACGGGCGCGGCCCAACGTCTCCACCTTGAGCGCCACGTCCAGCATGTCGTCCAAGGACCCCTTGAACCGCGCGGGTTCCGTCAAGACGGAGATTACGCTCGCCCCGCCTTGCGCATACAGCATGGCTTGTTCTAGGGAGAATCATGGAGGAGGGTGAGTCGCATTTAGGAAGTGTTGAGGGAAGTACCCGCAGCGTCGGCATCGACCGCAATGTCCCCTTTGCTAGGACTAGCTCGCTTGAACTCGGCTGCCACAGCGATCTTTGGCGCGCTCTACATACCAATGAATCAGCACACATCAACATGCGAGACGGACCTGTCGAATTTTCTCGACGATGGACACCGCTGGCCCATGCTTGCCTTCGTACACCGCGATCTTGTCGCGCAGGTCCTGAGCGCTGGTCGTCTTCTTCGCGTCTTCTACATGCACCTTCCGCGCCTCCACAATCCCAAGCAGCAAATCCGGTGCTCCTCCTCCGCTCATGCTGATGTTTCGTTGACAGTGTCAATCTGTCTATACCCGACCCACGTCAATTTACTTATTCTCTTTGTTCGATAAAATGTTGTATTTAATGATAACTTTAGTCGTAAAATATGCAAAGTCAGCTTGGCCGAGTGGTTAAGGCGTTAGCCTGCTAAGTTAATGGGGCAACCCGCGTGAGTTCGAATCTCACAGCTGACGATTCTTTTTTCACTTGGTTTCAGTATACCCTCATTATTCTTTCAACAGAACTCTAACAACGTCAACGAAACAACCCATGATGGTGCTTGATGAAGAAGGCCTAAGTGGAAGTAAGTAAATGCAAAGGAAGTACCAGGAGTACTACAGTATCTATGTATACTAAGCTTACGTAGTATTAATACTATTAATAGTATGTACTCCGAGTACTATTAATACATAGGATTGTCCTTTGTGACTGACTTTTGTATTTCGAATTTATTAATAAGTACTTCAGTATGTAAAATCGTCTGATGTCACACTAATTACAGTCACACACTGTTTGTTCGATGTTGAATTGGTTGAAGAGTGGATTTGATTGGCTACTTGATTCGTGTTGTGGGTTTTGATTGGTCAATCGATTGCCTGCCGCCGCCGATTCGACCCACTCGAATCAACTTGACAATATTTACAGCTTATGAATAGAACGAAGTACTGTATGAATGCTCTTTGCCAGTTCTAGTCATATGATTTGGTCGACCACATGCTGGGAACTCCATGGAAACAATCATGCTTCTAGTACCAGTACATGTAGTAGAAGAGTGCCTGGAGAAGTTGAAGAAGGAAAGCCGATCTGAACAGCACGACGGGATGGACAGCATATGCATTAAGCTTATCGTCGGCATGGGGTTTACATGATGGTGCACTTGCCTTTGTCCTTGCGGATGGGTTGGTACTTCTCGAGGTACTTGAGCTGGCGCAAGTTGATGGCCCCGCGACGGCTTTGACGAATATGTTCCACGGCGTTGATCACGTCCAGTCCGTTCTCGATCAGAGCGATGGCCACCAGCACAGGGGCGCGCCCAAGGCCGGCGACGCAGTGGACGGCGATCGTCTTGTCATGCGTGTTGTTGCCTGCGTTTTGCTTCGCGTTGTCCTTGAAGGTCGCTTCGACCAAGTCGAGCCACTGATTGATGATCTCGGTACTGGGAGGTTCGCCATCGGGGAATTCCATTTCCTAAAGTCGGAGCATGACATGAGGTGATTGATGGGTGGAGGCGGTGACGTACATGGAGTTTGAACCCGGCAGTCTCCACCGTGGAGCGAGAATACGTGGGTTCGCATGCACGCACAATGTCCGTGACTTGGTACTTTTTGAACTCTTTGATGTACAGCGGGAGGTTGGTGTCGTTAGGGGCGTCCAAGATGAGGAACGACAGGTGTTCATGTTGCACGTGCGACGGCTTGTTGGTAGGAGCAATCATCTTCGCGGAATAGTAGGTGTAGTCGTCGTCTGTCTGCTGTAAAGTGTCAGAGGGCTATCCCATAAGCGGGGTTGGGTCGAATTTCGGCGTTGTCGGGTGTGTTCAATAGCGCGGAATTCGAGTGGCCAAACCGAGTTTAGCTACGTCTGTCTTGCGGGAGATGGGTTTCTTCAGTCTTGTAGGGAGCGTGTACGCTCGCTTGGACGGGGAGGCTGTGGAGACGACGAAAGCGGGCAGACTTAGCAACGGGAGAAGCTAAGCGGCGGCGGCGGTGTTCTCGGGCGAGCAAATTCTCTTGTGTGTGATCCAGCCAGTAACATTCGCAGGTTAATAATAACCCCCAACGCCATTCAAATCGATGTTTTGGGGGTCGAAATATTAAAAGATACAGGTTTTCCGGCATGTCTATACATTTGTCCAGTGACACGTGATAAGATTTCTCACGGTGGATGGGTATTTTTTTGCGCCCATTTTTTAAAAAAGTATTCCCGTGAACGAAGCACATCCCGTTAGCACACGCGCCCTGTCATTCGACAACACTATTTCTTGAACATGCTGAGAGAAAGTCGGTGGAACCTCGCACGAGGAAGGCATGCTAATGGAGATCCTACATACAGTAGTCCGTTGGCAGGCCACGCATGGGCTGCTTGTGTGTCTCAGTGAGAACGTGTCCATTCTTCGAAGGATGCAGCATATAGTCCATATAGTATACCGGTATCCACTTAGAGTACATGTAGGAAGGATTGTGTGGTGTGGTGTTGGTCTTGGCCGCTTTAGCTTTCTCAACATGTCCAACAGTCGGCATTATTGCTTTGTTGATGCACCACCTCATGGCACCCAAGGGCAATAGGCTTTTGATGTTAATATCCTTGTTGTAACAAGCTGTTGACCAATAAGTCGGACATCGAGGTACGCGCTATCGAAGCAAGCGAGGCTGCTCGCAAGGATAGACATGGCTACAGCCCATACATACCTCGCGGCGACACAGTTTGGACACTTGCTCCACTGTAGTGTACTTAATTCTATTGAGACATGCAGCGAATGTGGCGAAACCACATGCAGCGAATGTGGTTTCGCCAATAATTTGGCGTTGGGACCAGCATTCAGGAATATATTAATTTATACAGGATGTCCAAATCAACGAATTGGGCGAGATCCAACCTGACATGTTTGGGACGGTGCTGACGCACGAAGTGAAGCGCATTGCGCGCAGTGTGGATGCCGTGTACGGAGATAGCGACCAGCAGCGCTACGTCCTTGGCAGCTGCACGCCAAGCTCGAAGAAGCTCAACCAGCTGCAACTGCTGGACGCGAACTTGTCTGTCCTGCAAACGTATGCGCACGCCAACCCAGTGCAACACCTTGCCATGTGCCCACTGCCCAAGATGGCCCACCACGTGCTCACCACGTTCGTATCAGGTACATATCTACGATCCGTTCACCATCTCACGTTAATGGATCGTCCGTGCAGAGCGCAACGAACCGTCCTTCGCCGTGTGGGACATGGACAACGTCGAGTCCCCTCCATCCACCTCCCCAGGCGCTGTGTCGCAATTGGGTTTGCTCGCACACGTGACGACCGAATCGGCCATCGTTCGGTAAATAAACGTGTGTCTACTTCGCCTTCCATACAATTTGCATTGTAGCGCAATTTGGAACCCCACCGAGGACGGCAATAGCGCGACCATAGCGTCGCTGAATGCGACGTCCATCTCCACGTGGACATTGGCAGACGGCGGCAGCGGCAAGGTACCAGCCAGTCAACTTTCTTCCTTTTCGACACCTCTGCAGATTTGGACGACCCAGCATGTTGTAGGAAGTGGCCAAACTCGGACTCGGCGAAGGCCACAACCAACTGAACGCCATTGCGTGGGACCCGCATCACCGGCAACAAGTATCGGCGACCGTCGACGAGTCCATCGTCACGTGGGACGTTCGCTCCGGCAAGTACGTCGCCTTCCATAGGTCCGTGCATGTAATCCTCGGTAGGATTGCGCACAAAGTCCATCAAGCGCACTTCCAATGCACAAGGGACATCGACTACAACCCGAACAAGCCATATTACATGGCCAGTGGCGGCGACGACGGCCTCGTCAAGTTCTGGGATATTCGCAAACCCAAGGCGGCGCTGCTCACGTTGCCGAGTCATAGCCACTGGTATATTTCTATCTATATATATATATATACATGCCCTGATATTTTAGATGATATAAATGTATATATATATATATATATATATGATGTGATACGCCTTGTACTTGCTACATATGTGTCCCCTTTGTGTATGTATTTGCATTCAGCAGGATCTATTCCGTCAATTCGTAGTTTTTACATTACTGGTCGAGGTATTCCCATTTACATACGTCGTATATATTGTATATATGTCTGTGAGTGAGTGATATTTTAGCGTTGTATTTGTATATTTACATAGTTACTGTTGATATTCAATATATGTATATATGTAATGGAGTATTATTCAGAGTATGCAAGCCCAAAGGTTGGATATATATATATATATATATATATATATATATATCCATTGGGCTTGGATATAGATATATGATATACGTTTATGTTGTTGGCATACATCAATGTGTATGATATCACCAAATACTATTTGATATTGAACAGGGTTTGGTGTGTCAAGTACAATCGGTTCCACGACCAGCTGGTGCTATCATCGAGCTCGGACAGCTCGGTCAACCTGTGGCGGGTCTCGAGCATCTCATCGGCGCCGCTTCTGGACGAGTCCACGGACGCCGGCGGCATCGACATCGGCGACGCCAAGATCAGCACCCACGACGGAGACCATGAGGACAGTGTGTACGCTGTCGCATGGGGATCCCAGGACTCATGGGTATATGTCTCGCTTTCGTACGACGGACGGGTCGTCCTCAACACGGTGCCGTCCACGGAGAAATACCGCATTTTGCTATAATATATAATATATATATATATATATATATATATAAATATATTGCACCGCCACAGTTGTCAACAGTAGGTAGTATCGGGATGTGATCAACGAGTATGTCCATGTCGTTGAGATGTGCTCAGCGTTAAGTGACATGATATTGTCAAGTCGATTCGACACTGGGGGAATCGAAAGGGAATGGACTAAAGAACCGCCTGAGCCAATCAAATCACGTTTTGGTAAATTCTGCCAATCCAAACGTTTGATTCGACCTAGTTCCCCCATATATTCTACATATTGTGCATTTTACCCAAATTTGGACTTGTGAGTCATATAGCATTCGAATCCAATTGATCCAATTCACTGTTAAGCTGGTACAAACTATACTACTGTACGTAGTTAACGTTATATAATGTGGATGCACACATCACGTATAAACTACCAACTTTTCTTGCTGCTAGTTATAATTAGTACTTCGAAGTGCTATGTAGTAAGTACATCGTACAGTAGTAGGGCTCTGGAGTACGAGGCGCGCGCCGAACGTTTAGATGGTGGTTCATGCTCTTATCATCTTATGCAATGCATTATGAACATCATCTTGCGTATTGCATGTACCTGCATCAATTGTTCTGGTAAGGGGGGGGGGTCATGAATGCACTTCGGTTGGCCATGATAGTAGTACCATGTACCCCTTGTGTTTGGGGCTTTGGTCGAGTGTAATGGAGCACGGGGGGGGTCGTGTCCAAGTGTCTTAGTGTATTCATCTCAACAAATCACGGATTATATATTTTGAAGTATATCTTTTGCAGTTAATAGTCGCACCCACTACAAATATCAACACGAACTCGTTCCTGTAGTACTGTACCTACCTGCATTTGACAAGGGTGATGGCGCGTCCTATGTACCATTGTTACTGCACCAGTATGTACACCCTACAGTAGTGATGCCCCCTGTCAGTTGCATGTTGAAAGCATGCAAAACAAATATGCCGATGATTTATTTATCCTATGAAGCCTAGCAAAAAATAAAAGTGGAAAGGATGACGACGCCGTTCGTCAAGGTGTGAAGCGGGAGAGGACGCCACGAGGAGTGACCAGTCCGTCCAGCGCCTTGTCGTGCGCGGACGTCGGCACTTGATCGATGACTTGCTCGGGTAATGCAATGCCCTGCCATCGATGAGACAAGAGAAGGTCGGGTGATGTGTCGTACGTACGAGTGTGGGAGGCAGCGCTCCACGACACTTGGACGCGTATCGTTCAAAGAAGCAGTCTAGACACGTTGTTCTTCTTCCTGAGCGACGACACGACATAGATCGCAACGCACCGTAGTATCCCTTGCCATGGCCCAACCGATTGCAGTGGGCATCAAAGGCCACCCCAGGAACAAGGATCAAGTCGAGGTCGGTCACGTCGAGCGCATTCTCCCGAGGAAGGCCGTTAGGGTGGTCGAGCAATGGCTCGGGGATGTTCCATTTGCTCTAGGTTGAGTTAGTAGACGAAGAACGAGTGTGTCGCGGTACCTTGGGAAACGTGTCGATGTCGCGTTGAGAGGTGACGTGCAGCATGACCATGTCTTCCGACCGGGGACCGGTTACCTTTGGAACGTACAGCTTCTTCCCCTGGGCAAAGATCTCGTGGATGATGGCGGCAGTGGACGCTTCGTTCGGCATGGGCAAATACGCGCACACGGATTTGGCCTGGACAAACGCTGGATGCTGCACCAGATGTGACGTAAGCTGCGCGCTCGCAGAGGCGACCTCGTCGGCGGAGTACTGTCGTAGCTTGAGGTCAATGTCCTTGCGAATCACCTGCTTTAGAGCCTTCACTCCGTCCATCGTCGCAGTCGCTCTTGTGTGGGCTGTCATCGATTGTGAGAATATGAATGTCATCCCTCCCTTCCGGATAATCATCGAACTTACGTAGAAGTTACTAATCCGAGATGTAGTACTACTAGTAGTATTTATTAATATTAGTATTACAATGATTGTATCAATAAAATACGATATCTATAAAATATTACTTTAAAAAATACTATAGTTGCTACTACTCTGCTACACTAGTAGTACTGGAACTACTCGGCGGCCGCCCTGGCATACGTGTCAATGGAGCTGGATTCCACATGCCAGTCGGCTGGAAACATGAGCTTTTCCATGGGGGTCTTGGCCACGTGTTGGTCGGTCGGCGGCTTGCAGACCTACAAAAAATAAAAAAGTATATTATTAAAAATACTACATATAAAAAACAAAAAAACAAATCTATACCTCCAACACGACGTGGATTTCCAGTAAATTCGGGTCATCGGGGTGTGTTCGAAAGTGTCTGGTGAGACGTTTTCTAAACTTGGACGAGGCCTCGGCCGGCCAATAATAATACTGCAGTGTCACCGTGTTGTCCTGGAAATTGCGCTTGGCTAAATACCCAATCAGTTGAGTGCACGAACTGCTCAACCCGTACGGCGACTGGGCTAACAACCGGTGCTTGCCACAGAGCTTATGGATCAAGTGCGCCGTCCCCACACTTCCAGGCCACAAGATCTACCCATATCAACAGATTTGTGGGGTTGAAACTGGAATGTACAATAATAGAGCAAAAAAATCAGTGAAAGAGTCCATCCGATTGCACCAGAGTCAACGTCGAATTAGTGTGTGACTTCAATTAGTATGAGTACCATCCCACACGACTCGATCGATAGATAATTTGGCCAAAAACAACATAAAAGTCCACCTTTTGGGCCAAAGGTCAATATTACAACAACAGTCCATAGAATCCTACTATTATAACCAGGGTAGTCGCCAATAATTAGGCGTTTATTTACCTCGGAAAGTCCCACACTTATAATTATCATGAAAAGTCTCCAAACGGAAAGACCCAAACACCATATCTTGAGCATACAAAAGCGTGGGGAAGAGCATACATATATATATATATATAAATTCTTCATCACATGCATATATATATATTCAAAGTCGATAGAGATTGGTGAAAACACAACGTACCAGCATTTCATCGCCTCGGTCGTCGATACTCCACGTACGCGATGCCACGTCAGTGAGCAACCGATACAGCCACGACGGATGGTGCTGGGGCTGGGTCCTGCACTGCAGGGACAGCCGTGCCCACTTGCCACTCAATGGGGAAAAATCCCCTTGAACGTTGCGGGACGTGGGGCTCCACTGGGGCACGTGGAGCGCCGACATGACGGCCGAGGCAAATTCCCTGCCCATGTAGAGCGAATCGAGGAAGGTCGTGGGGGGGGTTTCCGGGACGTACTCGTGCTCGGGTAGCAGGCTTTTGTGTTTGTGGCCAATCACAGTTGAGAATGCGACGTGGAGTTGCTTGGCCATGGCGGCAACCGTGTCGCACGTGGTGGGAAACTGACCGCCCAATGCCACCAATGCTTGCTCAAACATACCCAGCATGTCACTGTACGCTTTGAGCGGGTCGTGCGGGTGCGTGAGAATATGGTCGCGCAACTTGCTAAGGAACCCGGCTTCCAGCGCGCTTTCGACGCCCGCCACGAGCACACTCAGCAACGATTCCATCATGGATCCGTGGGGGATGCGCGGCGGCGACGGCGGCGGTTTGGCCAGCAGCGGCTGCACGCTAAACAGGTGATGCATGGTTAGGGAGAAGTACTGCCGCTGTGTGGACCCCAGCCGCTCAAAGTCGGCGATTCGACTCAGGATCTGGATGATGAAGAACACATCGTTGGATCGGGCTTGCAGCGTGTCGTCGGGTTGAAGGCGGCGGTTGGTGACGTTCACGACGGGAATGATCGGCGGAAGCGATGGAGTCGGCGGCAATGTGGCGGTGATGTTGGCAGCGGCAGCGGCGGCAGCTTCGTTTGGGTTCAACAAGCAGATCAAGTCTATGAACCCACCAGCGATTTCATATACGAAATAAAGGACGATGATGCATTGAAAGTCCAGCAGCCAATCCGTGCAATATGGATATATATGTACATTTGCATCACGTCACAACGAGGACAAGCACAGTATTATATATATATAGTGTTTATTCTAAACTGGAGCGACATGGAGAATATGAACGACCAAATATAATGTACACAGAGAAGAATCATCGGCAGATGGATTTTTAGCCAATCAAATTGCAGGAAATAACCATCATCAACATGGAATTAATGTGTGACTTGAATTAGTGTGATTCCAAGCACCACAGGACAGCTTTTGTCACACAAAATCAGTACGAAGAATCGATCGATAGAGTTGGCGAGTCAGCACAAAAGTCAACCAAATTTTAGGTCAACGGACAATACTACTAGTATTACTAGAACGAGCAATCACGAGTAGAATTGGGACAAACTCGTCCAAACAAACAAAAAATTGCCCCGCATCGTCGACGATACCGGCCATTTGAAGCACCAAGTTATATTTTTGTATCAGATGACGAAAATATATACTAGTAATAGAAAAATAGAAAAAAATATATATTTATCTTCCATAATAGTCGTATCCAAAAAATTGGATATGCGACACAAACAAAAAATATATTTTTGAACCGACCTCGCTTGGCCAAACTCGTCGACTTGACGCGTTTGGATTGGATTTGAGCGTCGGAATGTCCCGACGACGACTCGGCGGCTTTGTCGCTCAAGTACCCTCCATGCTATATGACGTCATATGCATCATCAACCCTCCACATGCAAACCACAAAATGGAAGTGGAGCATGACATTATGCCTACCACGTCCGCGATCGTTCGCTTGGCGAGGCGCGTCTTCTTGCGCATGACGCGGCTGGACGTGATGTGGAACGGATCGGATTCAATGGCGTCGATGCACTCGAGCTTGGTGTCGGCCTCGACCTTGAAGAAGTACACCTGCATACGACAGAACATGAGCGAGAGAGAACGCGAAGATGATATGATCGAGACGGAGGAAGAGGCGGCGTACGTTGAGGCAGTGCGTGTACTTTTGCCCCACGCGGGACGAACACCACCCGTAATGCCAGCATTGCCGGTCCCCGTTGATGACAAACTGCCGCGACGAGCCCACGCGCTGCCCAGGAAAGACCGACCCAAACAGGTTGTCCTTGGACTTGACGTGGGTCTCAAAGTCCAGCAGGTTGTACGTGTGCCCGACTTGGAACTGGACAGGACACTCGTCTTTGTCAGGAGTGCTCCCGGGGTCGCCATGACAGCTAAAGTAGCTCAGCACGGCGGAACAGTCCGGGAGGTCCGTCTCGACACCCAGGCCGGTCCCGCAAAACGTCTTCTTCTTGTGTCCTTTACAGCAATGCGGAAAGCATCTACCCATTGCCATCCACATTAGGTCTATGTCATGCTTCAATCACACGGGCACAACGTACCGCAAGCTCTTGAGTCCCCCCGACTTGTTGGTTCTGTTGCGTCATTGTCATGTGAACTTCATGCGCAAGGACGTATCGTCATGAAGATCCTTACCGGATGTAGTCGGATGCAAACAGCTCCTCTTGGCAGCACTTGTGGGGCTTGAGGAAGCGGCTCTGCTCGCTGCGCGTGAGCGGCATGGGGCTCTCGACTGAACTTGTTCCGATGTGGTTGAAAAAAGTGTTTTTGTTCCGATGTGGCCGTCCAAAGCCCCGAATATCCGGATACCAAACTTGAATCGACCAATCCCAGGGGGTTCCAAGACCATCCGGATACTTAGCTCCAACGGACCAATCACAGTGCGTTGCGGCCATGGACAACTGACGTAATGCTGGGTATGAGTATCCAACGGCTTGAAGGTCCGCATCATTGCTGCCGTCGTCGTCGCACCCCTGCTGTCTCCGCGAAGACGAGCTCCGTCGTATTCTAGCCATGCCACTAGCTACCCATCGGACAAGATCTCTCTGAACATCGTCCTGCCACTTCGACTGGCTCGACACCGACTGTATATCCCGTACGAACCCACTAGGCAACGTTTGGCTCCAATCGAGGTGTACCTATCGTGTATGTGGACATGACTGTCGTGAGAGACTATGTGGTTGCTGGCATGGTCTGAACCATGCTTGGGGCAACAACAAGTTGATGGGTGCTGCAAATCATGCTGCCCCGCTTCTGGTCGTTTCCTTACCCAACTCACTCCTCGGGCATCGTGCTGATCCGCCACACCCAACGACGTACCAGTACGTAGCAGACACTTCAGATGATTTGGGAAGGGATGGTTCATCTGGCTCCGTTGTTTAGTCACGTACATTAAGTAGGTGGTGTGATGCTACAGTACTAGTACATCCTACTTCAGTATGTACTATTAATAGTAATATACTAGTATTATAATATATATCTCCCACGAACAATATTCCAATCCATTTCTTTCTTTCTTCCCAATACAGTACTGTTTTATCATATGTAACGGAAATATGCAATACTACATTACTACTACAAGGGAATTACACTTTGGACAACTTGACCAGCGTCGACAAGAGCTTGGCTTGGTCGGCCGTGCGGTGAATGTACACGATCTTGTCGCCACTGAACGAGTAGTTGGACACGCCTTCAATCGTGAGCGTCTTGCCCACTACCTTCCCGAACAAGTCCTGGAACTCCTTGCCCGAGCACGACCCTGTAGCCTTGATCGTGCCTGTGAACAGCCAGTACACTCGGAAATGCTGGGACCGCGGGCCACCGCTGTCGATTTTCGTGTGGTTCAGTTGAAAGTTCTCAAACAGCGCGTCCGTGCACAGAAAGTCCAGCACGATCGCGTCCTTGCCGCGTAAATGCACCGAGTTCTGCGGCCCAGACACAATCGAGTCTTCCCGGAAGTACTTGGTCGAGTCCTCGATGTTGCGCGAGTTGTACATGGCGTGCACGTCTTCGATCACGCGCACGCGCTCGCTCTGCAGCGCTTCGTACTCGACGTCCGACAACATCTTCTTCGTCGTGCCAAGACTTCCCTCCATGCGACTCTCGAGCATGCGGATCTCGTTGATGAGGCGGTTGCGGTGGCCTTCCAGCCGTCCCTTTTCGTTCTCGAGGTGCTGGATCTTGTCCAACTTGCGTTGGCGCGACTTGCGTGCGGCGATGCGATTCCTCTCGCGACGCACCACCGAGTCAGGTTGCTCCCCTCCTTCGTCCGAGTTGTCTGAGCCGCTCTGAACCGACGTGGGCGTGTCGTAATGTGTCGACGACGGCTGCGACGACTGGTGTTGATGCTGCCGATGGTGTTGCGTGGGGGGGCTGCGAAGCGACGAATGGCCTGCGTCCATGAATGAAGTCTGCGGCAGATCGCGAGCCTGCACTCGGGATAGATGGGACGAGCACAAGCCGTACGACTGCGCTAGGTTGGGACACCCCGGCGTGGAGCATTGCGAGTCGTCAGCGTTCATTGTTTCTTTGCGCTTTTGTTGCCAATTCGATCAATACACCGGATAAATCTTCCAAGAACCGGATACCTGACTCAAGTATCCGGATATCTGGCGAGAAGCACTGTCTTATCCGGACTTTGTATCCTCATCTTCGCGATGAAATCATGAATGTCCACGATGGATAGCTGTCATACGGCAGTCCATGTGTAGTTGAGACATAGAACATCATGCTACAGCAGTGTTATGTGTCTTCGTGTTCAACCAACGTGCATGTGTGTCAGACTGCATCGGTTGAAGTCCGACACACACATGCACACTGCTAAACACCTGCAGTTTCGGCCTGGCTTGCAGCGAAAGGACGTTGCCATAGCCGCGATCTCCATGACTGCGCCGTTCTTGACCAACTGTGGGTATCATCATCATCATAGGTCAAACAGGGTACTTATGTCCTTCGAGGACATGAGTCATCATCACGACGACCGATCTCTCCCTTCGACACGCAACACGATCATTGGATGATCCACTCCAATAAGTGTGCGTTGGGACCTGCTAGTTGACATTTGAGCATCGAAGCAGTACCTTCCGACGTCGAGTAGTCTACGGACAATATCCACAGGGATACGCCCTCCTCCCCGCATCCTGCTAAGACCAAGGACATGCCTTCCAGTACCATGTACTGCGAAGATGCACATGTTGAGAGGCGACAATCGACGAAGAAGCATATATCATTGTTAATGCAAAAGGATGAAAGCTGCGATGGATATGCCGACGCTCTACATGAGGATGCAGCACGAGTTGGTCTTCTTCGCTTGCTTGTAAAATACTTTGGACTGGCTGCTCAGGTCCTGCGACTTTTGCACGAGGTCATCCAGCTTTTCCCCTCGCTCCAGCACGCTGTCGATGGTCTTGGAGAGCACGGCGGTGGTTTCGTCCAGCTCCTTTTGGATCGCCGAGATCTTGTCGGCCTTCGACGGGTCCTGGTAGTCTTCCAGCGCCTTGACCAGCGGCGCCCAGTCGGGGTTGGCTGCGCTCGGACTCGTGCGCCACTCGCCGTTGGTTTCCTTGTTAAATTCTTCTAGGAACTTGTTCATCAAGGCAAACGCTACGCGCGGTGGGTACTCTTGATCGCACACGACGATCCCCGCGAGTCCATCTTGGCGCACGTACACGTGGCAATTGTATTCTAGACAAATATCGTGAGAAGGGAGGGCGAGGATACCCACTGACGGACACGTAGATATGGTTGGTACCTTCGTGTTGGATGGATTGCCGCTGTCCCTTGGGCGTTCGCTTGATGAATGTGCGGCTGAAGAAGTTGATCATGTCACGAACCCTACGTAGGGACACATTCCCATCAGCATCATATCCACGCAGCATGTGACCCGAGCATGTAACGTACGTGGATCGCTTGAAGTAGCCGAACGAGTTCAAGTCAAAGGCGCTCGCGAGGATCGGAGGTTCGGCATCCCCTTGGTCCGCACGAAGGAACTCTACGGGAGAGGTCTGCTTAGACGCATGTTTCACATGGAGGGAAGGAGGAAGACGCACGGATAGCGACAATCTTCATGGTGCGAGAGCCGCGGAGGAAAATATTTAATAGCAAAAGCCAGTCGAAATCCACCATATTTTTATTCGCCATACAATTCCCCAGTAAAAACGCCGGGGGACCAGAATGTGTGTAATTCCGCGCTCGCTCAACGTCATGCCACCATCTTGCGTGGATCTTTTTCATTCAACGACGCAATCGTTGGCGGCTTGGCCATATTAAGACCTTCTCGAGGCAGCCTTAGCACTTGGAACGAGAGGAACTAACGTTAGCTATGTGGACATGGTTATATTGCTGCCACCAGCTCATGCTCACCCACTCGCCACGCGGCAACTAAACGGTGACTGATAGTAACGTTAGTTGGTTCTATCGCAGCTGGGGAGTACAGTAATCTAATGTTACTCTGGTAGTAAATGAATGCTCAACGTTATGTCTACCTATTAACGTTAGCAGTAACAGTATGTACTCGTAGACGACAAAGCAAAACGGAAACGACAATGCAATTTGATATTTCCTGTTTGAGTGAAATAGACCATATTTTTCTTTCTTTTGTATATTAATAGTTCGAACACCCGGATAATCGAGGTGGTTATCCGGTTCTGCTGCGCCAATCATTGCGTCAAGATCGATCGATCCAGCGATGGTCGCCGCGATTACGCAGGCAGTGGAACAGCACACGTTCGACCAGTTCACAGGACGATGCAGGCTTCCAGCGGCGTTCATGCAAGAGCATGGTCTGTTCAACGGATCTGCCGTGGCCGTGTATGTCAATGGCGACTGCTACCTCTGCAAGGCCCATGCCAGTCGGCAACGGAACGCATTCGCCATCGACACATCCATCGCGATCGAGGCGACGCATGTAGTTCTCGCAGCGCTACCTAAGATATGCCTTGAGCACACCCATGAAGACGAGGTCTTCATTTCCGTGTTGCCGTCCCCGCTGAAGTCTGCGGCGTCGATTTCCCTCGAGCCTGTCACTTCTGACAAGTCGTCCAACGACGATACGAATACGGTGCTGCAAGACCCCATTAGCCTTCGCATCCTCCAAGATGCATGTCGTCGCCTCATTCTCCACGAATCTTGTGTGATCCAGCTACCCCATCCAACCAACAACACCAGCATGTCCTTCCGAGTGCATCGGACACTTCCTATCGGCGTCGTTCGAGTCATTCGCGCCACGCGGGTGGTTCTATTTCGAGCGGCAGAAGCCGAACCCCATGACGACAACAACGCCATCCTTCCTGTGGACGTCCAGCTACGAAAGCCAGCGTTTGACGAGTCTCATCAAGATGAAGACGCGGCAACCACCCACGTCGGAGGCCTCCATGTCGAGCTCAAGAAACTCGAGGAGTTGATTTACATGGCGGTGGAGTTCCCATCTCTTCAACACGACATCGGCATCCAACTGCCCAAGGGGGTACTGCTATCCGGTCCGCCTGGTGTCGGCAAGACCCTCCTCGTCCGCACCGCCATCCGTCGATGCCACGCCAGCGGTATGCCGCCACTCTAGACTTCTATATTGTCCTTTTACCCAAATTTTGTGGACCATTTTGAATTTATCGATTGATTCGTTGGACTGAATGTTGTACTATGTAATAACGTGTTTGGTATCACACTAATTAAAGTCACATACTAATTTGACGTTGAGGAGGGTTGTTTCCTGTAATCGGATTGGCTAAATCCTCCAGTTGAGAATAAACACAACAATCATATCTTTCTATTGTGTGTTCGACTCACCCATCCCAACAATCACTGGACCTGCGAAATAAATGCTACGTTACATATTGTGCAGTCGAGTGAAATTTCATTGTGTTGTGGTGTGGTTTCTCGTTGGAATTTAAATCGATTTGATTGGCTACTTCAGATGAACTCAAAATTACTAGCCAATCAAAACACCTTCTCAATGAAATTTAACCAATCAGATCGATTGTGGATCGAATGGGTCGGCGCGATCCGACCCTCCCCAAATTTGTACTATCAAATCGACAATATATATTATCGACGTTCGAAATTGTGAATATTCCTTCCAGCCACCACTCGTATGGCAACCTGTATTTCTTTTTTAGCCAATCATACTGCACCTTTGCTCGATGCGTGGTGAAATTTCCAACAATCCCCCCCTATGAACCCGTTTGAGTGAAACACATCATAGCCTTCCAACATCACGAACAATACTATCTCGTGATATTGTGAATTCGCTATAACCTTCCCAAATCAATATTGAATCCCGCTGGAGTTTGATTGGTTGAATATACTTGTCCATTCTGTACGAGCCAATCAAATCCACTCTTGAATTCGCCACTAGCGTCGATCTTTGTGATTCGAGTCGGCGGCGAGATATTCGATTCGAAGACGGGGTCTGGAAATTTGCACCGAATCCACAATATATATATGTTGTTTTTCCGTAGGAGCCTGTCACTTGATGCTGCGAGTGATCAACGGCGCGGAGATTCTGTCGGGCGGCGGCATCGGTGACGCTGAGCGGGCACTGCGCGATCTATTTGACCAGGGCCGGGCGTTCACGCGGCAGTCGAATCGCCATGTGTTTTGCTTGTTTCTGGACGAGCTGGATGCGCTGTGTCCGCGGCGCGAGGCCAGCGGACGGTCGCACAGTCGCATTGTGGCGCAGCTACTGACGCTCATGGACGGCGTGGACGCATCTACAAACAGTCGCATGCTGGTCTTTGGGGCTACGAACCTTCCTCATTCCATAGACCCGGCTCTCCGACGACCTGGTACGTCTGCAATATTTATATATATATATGTATATTGAGGCTTTGAATGGGATTTGTTGGTAGATCTTTATATGTGGTACGTACTTACTAGGTCGGTTCGATCGTGAAGTGGTCGTTCATGCCCCACATGCCCAAGATCGCGCCGAGATTTTTAAAGTTCACTTGAAACGAGTGCCGTTGGAACCGCCGTTGGCTGTGGCCACGCTGTCCAATGACCTGGCCGACTTGTACGTGTGAATATTACATGTCACTTGTGTCCTGAAGTATTTGATAGGATTAGGAGCTCGAATATATTTTTGCAGATGCGTATATATATATATATATATATATATATATTCCATGTTGTTTTATTTGATAGTGTCCTCCTCTAAATCTTGGTAGATACGTATATAAATATAGATGTACAACCTAGTATAGAGCATGTTCATTTATTTAATAGCGACCTTTATGTATTGGCGGATGCGTATATAATATATATATTATTATTTTACATGGCTTATATATGACATGTTGTTTTTTGCAGATGTGTGGGGTTTGTGGGTGCGGACATTGCGGCGTTGTGCCGTCAAGCATGTATGATTGCCCTCACTCGAGTTGGAAATGAACGTCATCAGACGCCGCAAATGTTAAAGTTTTTGAGAAATCAGCAACTCTCGGCCATGTACTGGAACAACTCGTCCTCGTCCGATATGGATGCTTTGATGGCCAAGGGTAATATATAATATATATATATATATATATCCAATGAATCTTCAAATTTTAAAAATATCTTTCCAAGCATTGGACGAGCTATCACTGACCACTTCCAAGCCACCGACAGTGTCGTTTGCCGATTTTACCCACGCGTTGGAGTTTGTTCAAGCGTCTGCGTTGCGCGGTGCCCACACATTCAGGTAGTATTTTCTCGTGTTTTTTAGTGGGGAAATTATATTTTAATATATTTGGAAGTATTAACTGGGATTTTTCACAATAAGTAGCAAAACCTCCCAGTCCAAAGTCACGACGTGGAGTGACATTGGCGGTCTCGACAGTGTCAAGACATCGCTGCAACAGGCCGTGGAATGGCCACTAAAGTTTCCCGAAACGTTTCAGCGACTGGCGTTAAAGGTAGGTATACCATAAATATTTTTTCTATTTTATATCTAATTGGAAAGATGCCTGAGCGAATAATATATATATATATCCACCCATGTTTTAGCCTCCACGGGGCATCTTGCTGTATGGCCCGCCAGGATGCAGCAAGAGTACCATCGTCCGAGCGTGCGCATTTGCATCTCACGCGACGTTCCTATCGTTAAGTGCTGCGGAAGTGTTTTCTCCCTACTTTGGAGATGCTGAAGCTGCTATTCGTCAAGTAATAATATCAAATATATTATATTTGTATATATATATTTACTTGTACGTTTGCTAGATCTTTCGAGACGCAAGGGCAGCCACCCCAGCGATTGTGTTTATGGATGAAATCGACGCCATTGTGACCAAACGGAACTTTGAACAAGGCGGGTCGGGAGGTATACTTTTGATAAAAATAATTTTTCCCTCAACATATATTATATATGGTGATCCGAGAATAATATATACATATCCAACCAGGCTCGGGAATGGAATTGCGAGTTCTATCGACGTTACTCAATGAAATGGACGGCGTTGAAGCGGCAGATGGTACGGACAATTGCACTAAGCTCATAATATTTTATATATTTGTTAGGAATTAAAATATACTGTAATTGGTAGGCTTGCTTGTCATTGGGGCCACCAACAGACCAGATATGATTGATGCTGCCTTGTTAAGACCAGGCAGATTTGATCGAGTGGTGTACGTTCCGCTGCCAGATCAAGACGATCGGTTCAAGGTAATTTCTTCTATCTCTTCTGGATATACTACGATGTATATATTATATATATATAAATAAATATTGTTAAAAACTTATATGTATTCATGCTCGTCTAGATATTACAAATCCACACAAAACATGCATCGTTGTCGACAAACGTGGATTTGAAGTGGGTGGCAGCTCAAACGCCTATGTTTAGCGGTGCCGAATTGGAGGTAAAGTTAGTTGCTTAGGTAGTTAACTGAGTATATATTGCCTAGAACGTGTGCCGGGAGGCGGCGTTGCTGGCGTTGCGCGAGAATATTCACATGGAAGCGATCGACGGGCGCCATTTTCAACAGGCGTTGCTTCTAACATCGCCAGTGTCTTCGGAAGAATCCCTCGAGACTTTTCAACGCTTTCACGACAAGCAAGGAGCGCTTTGATTAACTAAATAGCCACTTACTAAAGTCAAACTATCCACTAAAACTAGTTAACGAATTGCAGCCATGCCATTCGTGTGGGGTCACGCCAGCTGCATTCCAGTACGCAGTGCCGTAATTGATGAGGATTTGCGTCCCTGAAACGACATTGCATTGCGTTCTCTACATACAAATAACCCATGGTATCGGTTAGTAGACAGGATTATTTATAGATTGCAGAAACATACACAGATCATGCGCAAGAGGCCATTGCACAAGGCAGATGCAAACGCAGAGTTGGGACGGGTGTAGCTGTGGTTGATGCATCGCATGATGTTTCCGTATTCGCTGGCGGAGATGCACAGGTTGCCGTGTTCGTAAGTGGACGGGTAGGCCAATCCGTAGCTGTCGAACGACCCGCCGCGATCGGCTTTGAGCACGCCGGTGTACTCGCCGAGGAACGTGCCTGCCGGTAGGTCTTGCGTAGCGAAGAGCCCCATTTGAGTTCCGATGCCAGGGATGTCTATCGGTCGCATCTCGATGTGAGGATGCACGAGTCCGGCGTCCACCGCCGCCCGCTCACTGCCGCACAAGGTCGGAAAACCATCAGTAAACCCCCAGTACGAATAGTTGCGAAGGTCTTGCGAGCTCTCAAAGAGGAGGTGCCGAGTGTAAAAGCACTTCATGACTGCGCTGGCATCGTCGCACGAGATGGTGGTTCCGCAGTACCCGACACTTCCATCCGCATCGTCGTCGGGGTCGCCTTGGTCCAAGCAGTGAATCATCATCATAGCAAGGGTGGCAGGGAGTCCCAACCTTTATTGCATTATGTAGGATGTTTATTTCACAAATTTAACGCATATGTAACGTTGTTCGAATGGTGATAAATTGGTATTCTCTAAAGCATTAATTTGTTTGAGTTGTATTTGACTTACTTTGTTTCGGTTTTGAATCCATGGCTTTGATTGTAACATCAAAGCCTGACTGGAGCTCCGAAGGCTGGCTTCGAGTGACTACTATTAGTAGTATAGCTTCACAAGATATGATACCGAGTGTGGCTAGCTGTTGGTTACCGGTATGCTTACACCCTGACATATACGACTCCATTAAAACAGTCAGGTCAATGAATCACGCCTCCAATTCAACGCTAACGTTATGTTCGCTCGGCAGGACAGAGTTACAATTACAGGTAGGTCGCCATCTCACAAACAACCAATAGATAGAATGAAATCAACAAACTACCGGTAGTTAACGTTAACAGTTAAATGAATCGCCCCATGTCACAATGCCTATGGAGCATCCAGTGCAGGTCGGCTTCGGACGCATCCTATGTTGAGCTTAACAGTGAAGTGTGTCGGTTATAAATAGGCACCATCGAGCGGTTACGAAATCTGTAACGGTTTTTGACTTGTGTCTATTCTTGCGGTCGTGGTTTCCTCATCTTCGCACACATCAAGAGACGATGGCATCGACGTCCGTGCTGCAGCACTTTGAGACGTATCAGAAGGCGCGGGTGAGCTTTGTGCAGGCGGTGGCTGAGGCTGCCACGCGGCCGCAGAACATTGAAGTCATGCAGAACGCCGGCGTGATGCAGCTCCTCCGTCCGTTGCTCCTCGACAACGTTCGTCATCCTTCCCCTTCCTTTTTCATCTTCCTAATGTTTACATCTAGGTTCCCAGCATCCAGCAATCGGCGGCGCTAGCCCTTGGACGCCTTGCCAACTACAGCGACGACCTCGCCGAGGCGATCGTGGGCAACGAGATTTTGCCTCAACTGGTGTACTCGTTGTCAGAACAGAACCGATTCTACAAGAAAGCGGCGGCGTTTGTTCTTCGCGCCGTGGCCAAACACTCCCCCGAACTCGCGCAAGCCGTGGTGGACTCAGGTAACCCCGACAACTGACTGGACCAAACACGCAACAAACCACGTTCGTTCAATGCGTAGGCGCGCTGGAAGCGTTGGTGCCATGCTTGGAAGAGTTCGACCCGACGGTGAAAGAGGCGGCGGCGTGGGCCATCGGCTACATTGCGCAGCACACGAGCGAACTGGCGCAGAGCGTCGTGGACGCAGGCGCAGTGCCGCTTCTGGTGCTGTGCATCCAGGAGCCCGAGATCACACTCAAGCGGGTGGCCGCGTCAGCGCTCAGCGACATTGCCAAGCACTCGCCCGAATTGGCGCAAGCCGTGTTGGACCCTGGCGCGGTCGCGTACTTGGCTCCTCTTGTCCAGCACCCCGACGCCAAACTCAAACGGTACTACTCCTTCAAACATGTCTTGATTTTTGTTAAATTTTCGTGTTTTTTTCGAATTTTTGTAGCCAAGTGTGCAGTTGTTTGGCGCAAATCGCTAAACACTCCGTCGACTTGGCCGAGGTGGTGGTGGAAGCCGAGATCTTCCCCAACATCCTGCATAACCTCAACGACATCGACCACACCGTCCGCAAGAATGCTGCCACGTGCATCCGTGAAATCGCCAAGCACACCCCCGAGCTCGCCAAGTTGATTGTGAACGCAGGCGGCGCGTCCACGCTCGTCGACTACGTCGCCGAAGCCAGCGGCAACAACAAGCTCCCGGGCATCATGGCGATCGGTTACATTTCTGCGTTTTCAGAGACGCTCGCGCTGGCGATCATCACTACCAAGGGCATCGCGCCGGTGAAGAATGCGTTGGTGGCCGAGCCTGAAGACCACATCAAGGCCGCCAGTGCGTGGACTTTGGGCCAAATCGGGCGGCACACGCCGGACCATGCGCGCGCCATCGCAGAGGCCGACGTGCTGCGGCACTTGCTCGCGTGCATGATTCACCCCAATAGCTCGGACGACCTGAAAACGAAATCGAAGCGTGCGCTCAAGAGCATTCTGGCCAAGTGCACGCACCTCCAGGCGCTGCAGCCGCTGCTCCGTGACGCGCCCATGAAAGTGCAAAAGTACATTTTGAAGCAGTTTGCGCAGATGTTGCCCCACGACCTCGAGGCGCGGCGGTCGTTCGTCCAGAACGGCGGGCTCCAGTTCCTCCAAGAGCTCAGCGAAGCCGCGGGTGGGAAACTCACCGAGTACATCATGGAAATCAACAACTGCTACCCCCCGGAGATCGTCGAGTATTACTCGCCCAATTACTCCAAGACGTTGCTGGACAAGTTGGACGAATTCCAACCCCAAGTTCGCTAGCAACGTGCTGAGAAACGATGGCCGCAACGTCGTCTGTCGCTGGTCCTTGAACAACTACTGTAGTACAATGCATGCCAAATATACTGTATGGAATATTTCTTCCAATAACGTTACTTTTTTAAAAATACGGTAACGTTCTTTAGTAAGTATTATTGTCGAGCGGTGTTTTATTATACCAGCCAGTATCGTAGTGGACGTTCGTTTTCATATATTTTTACATGAGGTGGATTGAGAATATATATTTGGAAAATCTATGGAGTGGGGTATCCGGATAATATATCCGTACAAGCACTGCCTTGAGGGCCAACGAAAAATCAATTGCCATTCGCGTCATGTTGTCCCGAGTCCTTGCGTCGTCGCGTGTGTCTGTGGCGTCCACTTGCGTCAGGGGGTTCGCCGTGTCCGCCGCCGCCGCTCCCGTGAAGGTCCAGCGTCCGAAACACACGGGTCCGCCTACGTTGCAGTCGACGGCCGCTGAAGTCCAGTACCTCGGCACGGTGTACTCAATTGCCGCGTCATCGAACCACCTGACCAAGGCCAAGTTGGAGTTCATCGTGCGCGAAGCCAAGTCGGAAAAGGACTTGCCTCTGGCACGTGAAGCGTTGGAGCTGTATGAGCGCAACTTTCTGCTCATCCCCACGCATTGCACGGGTACCTTTGTGAGCAAGTGCATCAAGCACAACCAAGCGGACCTGGCGTTGCAGTGGTTGCGCGACAGCAAGTTCTTGTCCAAGCACATCGTCAACGGTACGTTCTCGCGCCTGATCGACCACTACAGCGCCGCCGGCGACGTCGACAAGGCCGTCGAAGTGTTCGGCATCGCCAAGAAGCACAACATCGAGATCACCGCCAAGGTGTACACGTCCCTTATCAAGTACACCCGATCATTCATCTCCATGCGTTGGTGTGTTGACTGTGTCTTGTCTTGTAGCTTGGGCAAGGCGAACGGCAAGATCGACTTGGCGGTGGACTACGCTCTCCAAGCAGGGTACGATCTCCTACTAAGTTTCCATCGACGCGACTTCCACCACCTCGCTCATCTTGGTCATGTGTTGTAGCCATGCCAAGATGATCAACTCCCATGGCGTGCTGCTTCTTCTGCGCGACCTCCCGGAGCACGACCTCCGCGACCTGGTACGCATTCTCTCATGTGTTTCTTCTTGTCTGACATGACATTGTGATGGATATGCAGATTCCAGTGGCCAAGAACGTGATCCACCTTGGAGACGTATTTTTGAACAAGGAGCTGACGTCGCTGCTGGAGCAATACGACGAGTCGGCGGCACCTGCGTCCGCCGCCGCCCCGGAAGCCGATGAAGAAGGTGACGAGGAACAAGTGGTGGCGGAGGCTGACGAGTCTGACAAGGAAGAAGACGGAGATGCCAAGAAGGACGCCTAAGTTGTCGACTCGATATTAGATAGAACCAGGGGAGGCTGTTGTTAACCGATCGATTACTCCCAATTATTTTCTGTGTTCACAATAATCAACGTAACTTACTTTATCAACTGACGTGCGTTTCATGTTTACTACTGTACTACTACGGTATGGTGCAAGTCATCTGAGGCCGTGGTCGGGGAGGAATAACCCTGAACGACTTAATTTTGATTGGTTGATTTATCCGTCATCCAGGGCGTCATTCAGGGTTGCCATTTTCAACCCCACCTCGGGTTGTGAACGACAACCCTCAACGAAATCAACCCTGGAAGCAATTAATTGTGCAATTCAATTTCCTTACATATTACAAGTAATAATATTTTTGCAAAGCATAATGTATACCCTGAACCAGAATCTTTAATAACGTTATGGCGTTCTCGGTTGATATGTTTAATATCCATATCTCCGTTCATCGCTTGAATATGAAGTTTCCGGTTCTGGGTAAATTAAACTTTATTATGGAGATCTTGGTTCATCGCTACAATATGAAGGGTCCAGTTCATGGTTAATTATACTGTTAATGGCACTCACACCGTCAGAGACCGTATTATATTTCAACTTACAGTTAACACACAAATGTTCTACTACGTAGTATTTGGCAACGAATATACCTTTGGATTTGAACGAAATCGCACAAAGTCCTGTTAGTTATGAACCGTTCACCGACACAACATAGCTAACGTAAACAATCAATTTAAGAGCTTCAATCAGTTTAACAGTTCTCGACAACAACGAACGCCTATTCTATTTCTCTATAAACTTATTGAGGTATGCAATCATAGAGAACTTTGACTCAGAATTAGATTTTCAAAACGAATACATCTATTTTCTAGTCATCCGAGTTGCTACCATCATCACTTGAATTTCCGCTCGCAGCTGACGACGACTCAGACTCCAGTGCGTCGACTTGAACGAGATGATTGTGAAGCAATTGAAGCTTCTCTTGCGCTGAACGAACACAACCCTTTATGGTGCTAGGCTTTAGATTGGCAAATGCAGCTTCTAGGCGCAGCTTAACATCGGGAAACTTTGTCATGTCTTTGTACTGCCGACCAACCTCGCCCTTGACAATTGCCCAAACTATTTCTATGAGCTGTAAATCTGAGTGATGAGGAGGGGTAAACACGATGATGTGGCCACGACTTTCGGCCATGTCCGTGATGATAGGTTTCACGTGGGCTCGGATGTACGTCGCCAACAGTCCCCAGAGCTCACTCTTGTGCTCATGCCCCCTCGTTGGGATGCCGTACGCTCGACACGCGTCGACCAAGACACCCTTGCGGCGGCCACTCGATTGGGTAGTCTTGGGCAACGACTTGTGGAACACAATCAACGCATTGGTGATCCCACCTTCATCCATCTCGTTCAGCGGCTGCCCAAACCATGGCACATAGTACTCAGTGTCAAACATGCCGTGGTAGTCCTTGGGCTGCTTCGCTGTCGAATTGCCATCCGTGAAAATGTTGATGGCCATGAACTTGATTTCCAGCGTGGGTGAGTCCAGAATGGCAGCGACGAAGCAGTAGCGACGTCCCTTGTGCTTCTCCTTTGATGGCAGGTCCATCGTGTTGGACGGGTCGTAGAGGGCTAGGTGGTGGGACTTGTAGTGGTGATGGATGTAGGACTCGTCAGTGTACACGACATGGGGGCCGTCGGGCGCGTCAACCAGGGCCTGCATCTTGCGGACGTACACGTCCCGGGCAATGGCGTTCGCCTTGGACAAGTGGTAGGTGGACGACCCCTTCCGATTCCCACGCTTGTAACCTTGGTCCCGCAGGTAGCATTTCATTTTGAATTGCCTGAGATGTGACAAAATAGGCGTTGGTTGCTGTCGAGTAATGTAAGATAAAATGTGCATGTGCCAATGAAAAGACGCGAAATTTCATTGACTGTGAGCCAATGAAACGACGCGAAATAACCTAACCGTTTAATTTATATTCAAATACGTATACGTTATTCAAGATAAAAATATGCGTCTTAAATTGATTGTTAAAATTAGATCAAACTTGCTTGGTTTTTGTTGATTTAATCATTGACAATGCACCGAAACCCAATATAATTGATACGAGGTAGTTCCCCATTAATTCAGCTACAATCTCCAAGTTTCAGAGGTCGAAAATGTTGTATGAGCGGGGAGCTTTGGAGTTCTCCCTAGCCGCCTTCCTCAGATGCGTCTTAAATTGATTGTTTACGTTACCGTATTTTACGACTCAATGTTGAGTGTGGTATTGAGTGTGTTACAGTAGCACCGTTTGGCAACCTGTAAAATTTTGATTTGCTCCATTGGTGATCCCTCCAGATATGCATACCCTTTTATATATTACTCGAGGTACACGTACGAGCAGAAGCATGTCACATTGCAATACCGGGACTCCCACATTCAGGCTCCATTTCGTCCGATTCGGTTTTACTCGATTCAAAACGCATACAAATCGCGAAAACACATACTCCCCACAACGCATTCGTATTGCCAATCAAAGTTAAAAACGTCGGAACAGAAACGGGCGATGCGCAACGGAGTACCACACTCAACATTGAGTCGTAAAATACGGTACTGTTTTGAACTCCCACGCGCAGAATGACACTCGTTTGCTGGATAACACCTAACTTATCCGGATTTCGTGACGTTTCGAGCCATTGTACAGTGCACTCAAGTGGCAGCACATGCAAGTGGGTTTGGCGGCGTGTCCGGTGAAGGATGAGTTGAGTATATGTTCCCACTCCAGTGTTAGAAGTGAATATAGTCCAAACCTCCCGTTTGAGACTATGACTTGCGCAGGACATAGATATATATATACACATAGCCTTCTTCGTTGGTAGATGGGAATAGATATTCTTGACGGCCGATGCACCGCACGGGTCGCCAACCCGTTTGATCAGGCGCCGGCATGGCGCAGACCTTTCGAATCGCTCGGACGAACCCGCTGAGTGTGGCGACGCTGCTGAAGGGGGACGCGGTCCCCTTGTGGCGCCCGACGCAACCGTGGACCCGCGCTTCAATACGTCCGTCCGGGTGACGGGGAGGGAGTGTGTCCAGTACTACGTCGGTCTCATGCTGGTCACGTCCGACGGGATTGAACTGGGCACCGTGTCGGTCAGCGACGGACTTCCCCGCTGTAGCATGTGTTGAACCTCTTAGGTTTTCGTAAACCGTCGACATTGTCGTGCGTTGGTCTCGTCGAAACTCGACGCCACATGTGATTTGTTGTTGCCCTTCTTAAATATTAATGTTCTTGCAGGGCGACGGCCAGTCGGTCTTCGATCAGCGCCACAACATTGTCATGGAACGTGTCCATGGCCTGCCGATGTTGCGGCGACATGCGCAGCCGAGGCGCCGTATCCGCCACTGACACGGTGCCCAACACGTGTCCGTCCGACGTGCGTAGCGATCCAAACGCACCTTTGAGCACCGCCGCGCCCTGGTAGATGAGCGTCACGCAGCCGTTGGCACACTCCATGTCGACACACACTTCTTCGTACAAGACGTCGTGGAGGCCGTTGGCGCCCACATCCAATCATGCTAACATTTGGAGTTGGTCTTCGAGTCGCGTCGTGATCGTCCTCGTGGCTATGGCCGACGTGGCTGCTGTCGTTACTACTTGCGCGGCTGCTAACGTGGCTGCTGCTGCTGCTGTTGCTGCGACGAGGGGGGGGGCGACGACGACTGGTTGTCGGCAATGTCGTACGGATGATCTTCTTGCAGTGTCGTCGTCGAGTGGCTGGTGGAGGTACGGTAGCGGCGGCGACGATCATACTCGTCATCGCTACCTTCGTCTTCGTCACCTTCTTCAATGTTGGCCGCCTCCATTTCCAACAGCGGCACGACGTAGCGTTGTGGTTGATGGGAATGATCCTTGGAGGCCATTGGTGTCCGAAGCGACGACGACAGTTGGGGGTGCAATGTCATGGTGCGCATCATGGCATCGGCGTCTGGATTGAAACTCAGGCGTTCGCGCAGCACAATGGGCTCAACGGTGGGTGGTGGTGGTGGCCGTTCTGTCGGAGACGGTTGCGATGGGGCGGAAGGGGGCGGTGCCACGGGGACGGCAGTCTCGGCAACGTACCCGAGGCACAGCTGCAGCTCAAACACGTTGGCCGGGCCGACTTGGACGTTTTGAAGCACGGAGCACCCCCACAGAACGGCATGGTTTAGGCACTACAGACCCCCACGGCCAGAACACATGGCAGCCAGGCATACCTGGCAAAGTGCGCATTTGGTGCA